CAGTACAATTTCAGAGAGATCCATACACTTGAACACAAGTTATTGTCTGAAAAATGCTTGTTTTTTGGGCCCTTTTTGGCCCCAAATTCCTAAACATTTAGGGCAATTACCCCCAAACTCAAACCCAGCTTTCCCTTTGTGATATGGAACCTTGCAGTACAATTTCATAAAGATCCATACACTTACACACAAGTTATTGTCCTGAAACTAGAAAAATGCTTGTTTTTTTGCCCTTTTATGGCCCCTAATTACTATAAATTTGAGGGAATTACCCCCAAAATCAATCCCAGCCTTCCCTTTGTGGTATGGTACCTTGCAGTACAATTTCAGAGATCCATACACTTGAACACAAGTTATTGTCTGGAAACTAGAACAAGAGTGCACACGCTGAAATGTCTCGCCTTCTTTACTAATCATTGATATTATGTTGATAGTCCTAAATATAAAGCTTTATTACAACTGTCACATAAACTTAACATTAACCAAGTAAACTAAACATTGACCAATGAACCATGAAAATGAGGTCAAGGTCAGATGAACCATGCTAGGCAGGCATGTACAGCTAACAATTCTTCCATACAACAAATAGAGTTGACCTATTGCTTATAGTTTAAGAAAAACAGACCAAAACACAAAAACTTAACACTGAGCAATGAACCTTGAAAATGAGGTCAAGGTCAAATAAAACCTGCGTGACTGCCAAATAGATCGTAAAATATTTCCATACACCAAATATAGTTGAACTATTGCATATAGTATAAGAAAAACAGACCAAAACACAAAAACTTAACTATAACCACTGAACCATGAAAATGAGGTCAAGGTCAGATGACACCTGCCAGTTGGACATGTACACCTTACAGTCCTTCCATACACCGAATATACTAGACCTATTGCTTATAGTATCTGAGATATGGACTTGACCACCAAAACTTAACCTTGTTCATTGATCCATGAAATGAGGTTGAGGTCAAGTGAAAACTGTCTGACGGGCATGAGGACCTTGCAAGGTACGCACATACCAAATATAGTTGAACTATTGCACATAGTATTAGAAAAAAAGACCAAAACTCAAAAACTTAACTTTGACCACTGAACCATGAAAATGAGGTCAAGGTCAGATGACACCTGCCCGCTAGACATGTACACCTTACAATCATTCCATACACCAAATATAGTAGACCTATGGCATACAGTATAAGAAAAACAGACCAAAACACAAAAACTTAACTATAACCACTGAACCATGAAAATGAGGTCAAGGTCAGATGACACCTGCCAGTTGGACATGTACACCTTACAGTCCTTCCATACACCGAATATACTAGACCTATTGCTTATAGTATCTGAGATATGGACTTGACCACCAAAACTTAACCTTGTTCACTGATCCATGAAATGAGGTCGAGGTCAAGTGAAAACTGTCTGACGGGCATGAGGACCTTGCAAGGTACGCACATACCAAATATAGTTATCCTATTACTTATAATAAGAGAGAATCTAACATTACAAAAAATCTGAACTTTTTTTTCAAGTAGTCACTGAACCATGAAAATGAGGTCAAGGACATTGGACATGTGACTGACGGAAACTTCGTAACATGAGGCATCCATATACAAAGTATGAAGCATCCAGACCTTCCACCTTCTAAAATATAAAGCTTTTAAGAAGTTAGCTAACGCCGCCGCCGCCGCCGCCGCCGCCGCCGCCGCCGGATCACTATCCCTATGTCGAGCTTTCTGCGACAAAAGTCGCAGGCTCGACAACAAAAGTTGCAGGCTCGACAAAAATGCTTATTTTTGGCCCCTTTTTGGCCCCTTATTCCTAAACTTTTTGGGCAATTACCCCCAAACTCAATTCCAGCTTTCCCTTTGTGATATGGAACCTTGTTGTACAATTTCATAAAGATCCATAGTCACTTTCACACAAGGAATTGTCATGAAACTAGAAAAATGCTTGTTTTTTGCCCCTTTTTGGCCCCTAATTCCTAAAATTTGGAGGCAATCACCCCCAAAATCCATCCCAGCATTCCCTTTGTGTTATGGAACCTTGTGATACAATGTCAGAGGGATCCATACACTTACACACAAGTTATTGTCATGAAACAAGAAAAATGCTTGTTTTTTGCCCCTTTTTGGCCCCTAATTCCTAAAATTTGGAGGCAATTACCCCCAAAATCAATCCCAGCATTCCCTTTGTGATATGGAACCTTGTGGTTCAATGTCAGAGAGATCCATACACTTACACACAAGTTATGTCTGGAAATTACAAAAATGCTCATTTTTTGCCCCTTTTTGGCCCCTAATTCCTTAACCCCCAAAATCAATCCCCACCTTCCTTATGTGGTATTGAACCTTATGGTAAAATTTCATTGAGATCCATTCACTTAAACTAAAGTTAGAGTGCGAAAACTAATGTGTCTTTGGACGAAGACGACGACGACGACGCCAACGTCATACCAATATATGACTTCAAAAATTTGTTTGTGGTCGTATAAAAATGGGATGTAAAAGTATAAAGAATAACTGTGGAAAATATAAGAAATGAGGTAATACAATAACGATTACAGAAATGAAAGATGTACAGAATAAAGAAATCATCTAATTACAGAAAGATTTAACAGTAAAATCATTTTCATGAGATTTTTTCATCATAAGCATTTTTCCTAAAGACATTGAAAGATAAAGGAAAATGCCCTAAAAATTTAAAGAATACCAAAATTAGGGACCCCACCCAGACCCTCATGTACTGACACGTTTGGGTTAGTGTTAAAGTAGTATGGGGTCTTCTGCTATCTTTGCATAAAAAAATCTAGATTTGTAATGAAATATAGTAAATTTTGAGGCTAGAATGAAATTCATTTATTAGATTTTTCATTTACATTAAGAAGTTTGAGTAATTCAATTTTATCCTATTGTCATGACTGTTTTTACAAATTACAGAATATTTTTTGATTGATTCTAAGCCTGAAAGAGGAGATAACTTGGATGATTTGATTTTATTATGAAATGTACAGTAAATATTTCTATTTTGTGTTATAGGAAGAAATGAATAAAAAATGCTGACCTAATTTTTCTAAAAGCATTTTATATGAGAAATGAAAATAACACTTTGTAAATTTTGTGAGTCTGATATGAGCATGATGAGCTTTCTTTTCTCATATTTCCTTTCAAAATTCTGTAAAATGGCATGGTATATTTTCTATTAACATAAATAAAAATATCCTTATTACAAAATGTGTCAATTTTTCAAACTTTCTAGCTTGAGAACGTTAATTCATGCTCAGTGACACATGATCCTTATTACATTTTTGAAAAAAGCAAGATATAAACCACATTTGGCAAAGTACGAAAAAAGTTTTTTTTCATTTTGTTATCATTTCACCATTATTTTAAGCATGTCATTCATGTTAAGTAATTTCATATCCTTTCTTTTCATCACATTTTTTTCATTTTTTATCTGACATCTGTAAATTGAAGAACAATTACATTATAGTCTCAATAAAAAGTTTCAAAAGCAAATAAACATCATCTAATTTTTCATTTTTCAGTTGTATTTTATAGTTTATGACAAATACATGTATATCAAAATGAAATATAACAAGCATTCTGAGTGTATTGCATGGCAATACATAGTTCCCTACCGGTTAAGAATTCATTGTACTGGAACGAAATGCTAACTTGATCTATAACATGTCATGGTGTAAACTATATAACAAATATCAAGTCAATATCTTCCAGCATGACAAAAAAAGTGTGGAAAACTGATTATTTGAGGGAATTTTCTAAGTCCAAGGACCATAACTCTGCATAAAATCATCAGACCGGAACAAAATTCGAAATTGAACTGTATCTTGTCATGATAAAACTATATACCAATTATTAAATCAATATCTTCAAACATAACAAAAAAAGTGTGGATAATTATGTGGATTCCTCTGCACAAAATCATCACACCGGAACATAATTCGAACTTGATCTGTAACTTGTCATGATAAAAATACATGTATATATCAATTATCAAATCAATATCTTCAAGCACGACGAAAAGTGCGGAAAACTGATTATTTGAGGGAATTTTCTAAGTCCAAGGACCATAACTCTGCATTAAATCATCAGACTGGAACAAAATTCGAAATTGAACTGTATCTTGTCATGATAAAACTATATATTCCAATTATTAAATCAATATCTTCAAACATAACAAAAAAAGTGTGGATAATTATGTGGATTATTTGAGTGAATTTTCGAATACTATGAACCATAACTCTGCACAAAATCATCAGACCGGAACATAATTCCCACTTGATCTGTAACTTGTCATGATAAAACTATATACCAAATTTCAAATCAATAGCTTCAAGCACGAAGAAAAAAAGTGTGGAAAACTGATTTGCCGGACTGACAGACAGAGGGACGGACGGAGTGCAAACCTAAAGTCCACTTCGACTTCGTCAGTAAGGGAATAATAAATTATTGATTAAACACCTCTGATTATTTCAGATAATATATTATGAATGTCTCTGGATTAACCATACCATACTGGGCAGTAATTTTGTCTGTCCTTTAATTAAATCCGATTTAATGTTCATATTTATTGGATTGACAAAATTACCAGACTTGGTTTTTTGTCCAGTTGCCCTGGGACTATAATTTATATTACATATATGTTAGTATAATCATGATAATACTGTAGTCCCAGAGTTACTGTACACACCACTATACACCGTTCATAGTCTGATAACTGAAGAACACAGATGCAGGGTTATTTCAACAAATTAAAGAATCAAACAGACAAAGTACATGTAATATGGTTAAGTTGTCACTGTGATTTCCTCTGTTCCTAGAAAAAACGTCTTGGAATATTTCTGTACAACTTGTAATGCTATTTAGCATTTAACTTTAAGTGACAGACACTGTCTTTACACAAATAATTTTTGTCACCATTAGTTGAACAACCATTTACTACTATGATGTATAATGTAAATATAGGTATTTTACCTCGTCGTTCTCTTCTCCGGTGGCTATTTCTTCTGTTGACATGTTATTAGTAGCCATAGCCCGAATTCGATTCGGTGTGCTTCTGACTTCAACTTTACAACTAAGGTAAAATCTCGAAACCATTTATTTGTTTTGAACTCTTCAATGTAGGAGATGTAAAAGGTCAAACATCAATATTTCAGAAATTTGCGAAAAAGCCAAATGGCAGCTGGAAGTGAAAGTTCAGTTACAGATGTGTTAATCGGCGAATTTGAAGAATGGCAAGCATCAGAATCTTCAGAGGCAATATTTTTGTTAGAAGTAAGATCATAGAACAATACACATTTGACAAAGAAACTATCATGTAAAGCATAATAACATCATTGAGATCATGCGACAGGGAAACAACGAATATAAATATATAAAAATTTCAATTGAAAATATGAGACAGTGTTATCTGTGAGGAAGAATTGCTTTAAATCAGCTGTTTAAATAGCGCTACTTTTTTCAAATTCTAATTTAAATTAATTTAATAATTATGATTTTTATTTCTTCGACCAAAAACAGATAAAAAGACAAATTTAAAATTTCCGTTTTAGAATGAATTGCCCAGTTGAGAAGGGATATTTAGAGGAAACGTGTTATAGGACTTTAATACATGAAGATATTTGCTTTATGGCATCAAATTTTTTTCATATAATGCACTTAAATAATTGGAAGATCGTTTTTATAATGTAGAAATGTAATACACCATTTTTGAGAGTTTTTAGGATTTTATTACGACTGAGTAATATGACATCATCGTCACATGTAAGAATTGTATATATATATACAATATTTTGATATGCGACTGACATCTTTATCAATGTAAACAAAGCAACATGCAACATGTTCTTTGTGTTTACAGGTTATTTTGCTTGTTCATGTTGTTTAAAGTATTATTATGCCCTAACTCTTAAAGTGGGGGCTACATGTATATATATTGCAAACACCTTATCTGTCCATTCATCCAACAATATTTTCATCATACTTTCTCAGAAACTTCTATACAGAATCACTTTACATTTGGCCAGCAACTTGACCAGTCAGGGATATAACTCTATAGGGTTATTACAGAAAATAAATTGCATGTGTTATTACAGATACTTTCATGAGTTGTCTACTCTTTAATCCATAAATTTTCTAAATCTGTAATAACATATGTTTGTTATTTGTAAATTAAATCATACATAATTTGATTTTTAGTGGGCTCTAGGGAACTCTGGAAACTTTGCGCAGAAACTAAATGCATAGCCTTGATAACTAATTTTTGAATTAAATTAATACATTTTTCATTAACCATGGTAAATCAATGAGACTAGGCTTTTAAGGGATAAACTTAGCTGTAATAACAAGGCTTAGTTATTAAAGGCATGTAACTTGTTATATGAGACACTTGGGAATTACTGGGAAGCTTGCGCAGAACCTTATTTCATGCTCTGATCATTATTTCTTACAATAAATTAAAATTCATTGTAATTAAGCATAATGAATGTCTGAGCAAATGCTTAGGAGTGATGTAGAGAAGCTGTAATAACACCCTTTAGTTATTATAGGCATATTTTTCTGTAATAACATAGGTGTACTATGCATGATTGGCAAACTATGAACTGTTATATCTTTCTATAGTTAAGTATACATAAAGACAATAGTAATATCAATAGAACTTGTATACATTTTAACAAAACTAATGATGTATATTGTCCCTTTGAAACATGTAACATACATATGTTATCACAGTTCTTTGATTATTTAGTCCACAATCATGACAATAACAAATGTATGTTATTTTTCTCTATTAACCCTATAGAGTTATATCCTTGACTGTTGACTACAATGTATGATGAGTTGTAAAATATGTGCATTTTTCGGATCAGTCAAATACCTACTACCTTTTCACCTATACTTTGAATGTTTAAAAATTTTGAAAACATTAAAAAGTTTCATAACAACTTTTCTCCAATACATAATGTCATTGTACTACTGAACAGAATGACTTCATATTTGGTCATCACCTTTTAATGTTGGTGTGCTTTATTTTGAAATATATATTTGAATGTAGTATTGATATATTCCTGAAAACAATGCAGATGTCCTTGACATTCCTTGCTGTAATATGTACATGATATATATAATTATTAAGTGAATTTTGTTAGTCCTAATAATAAGATAAAATTGAGAATGGAAATGGGGAATATGTCAAAGAGACAACAACCCGAACAAAGAGCAGACAACAGTTGAAGGCCACCAATGGGTCTTCAATGCAGCTAGAAAATCCCGCACCCAGAGGTGGTCCTCAGCCCCTACATAAAAATTGTGTGCTAGTTAAGTGAAAATGGATGTCACACTAAACTTCAAAACATATAAATGAGCTAAAACATACAAGACTAACAAAGGCCAGAGGCTCCTTACTTGGGACAGGTGCAAAAATGTGGCGGTGGTTAAACATGTTTTGTTAGATCTCAACCCTCCCCCTATAGCTCTAGTCAATGTAGAAAAAAGAAGCACATAGCAATATGCACAGTAAAACTCAGTTTAAAAGAAGTCCGATGCTGAGGGTATTTGTAAATTTTGATTTTTAGGGAACCTTTTTTTTGGGGCCTTGGTGGCCGAGTGGTCCAAATAGTGGAACTACTGTATCACTAGCCTGTCAACACTGTGGTTGTGTGCTCGACTCCAATCTTACTTGACTAGGATTGTCAGTTTTCCTACCCAAGGTTGGTGGTTCTCTCCTGACACTCCGGCTTCCTCCACTAATAAAAACTGACTGCCACAAAAATAGCACAATCATAGTGCTAAAAGTTTCATTAAACACTAATCAATCAATCAATCAATCAATCAATCATTACAACCTTTAAAGATTTTTATACATGAAAGGGACATCAATTACAGTATTGCAGTCATCTATATACAGTTGTTTATATGTTTCATGTTCTGTATTAAAAATTGTAAATACAGAAATCTTTGGGAGTTTTTATTGTTGCAAAAATTATGACAGAATATAGGTAGGTATTACAGACATAGAAATAAGAATTTTTTATGTTGATAGCATAACTTGTATGCAGTGTATCCTGAAATCGCAATAATTATAATTTTGCAATTTTGTATGGATAGATTGTTCAACAATTGCAATAATGAATAATGCAAAAAATTCTGAATTTTTTCAGACAAGTACAGATGAAAATAATGACATTGTGATGCTGATGTTATTGGCTTCAGAACATGAATTTAAACTCCATATACCAAAAGGTGAAGATTAAATGTGGTATACTGTAGTTCAATTTTTCATAAAATCATATTATTCATTCATGTACAATGTATCTCCCTTAGTTAAATAAATGTTATTAATGTGCACAATGTACATTTTGTATTTCACTGCAGTATTTTCTGCAAACATCATATCTGACAGTGTTGTTATAAATATTTGTAAACCTGTACACATTTTATTTTTTATACGACTGCAAAAATTAAAATTTTTTTGGTCGAATATTGATATCACGTTGTCGTCGTCGTCAGCGTCTTCCGAAGACAGATGGTTTCCGGATAATAACTTTAGTATAAGTAAATAGAAATCAATAAAATTTTAACACAAGGTTTATAACCACTAAAGGAAGGTTGGGATTGATTTTGGGGGTTATGGTCCCAACTGTTTAGGAATTAGGGGCCAAAAAATGGGCCCAAATAAGCATTTTTGTAGTTTCCAGACAATAACTTGTGTTAAAGTGTATGAATCTCTCTGAAATTATACCACAAACTTCCATACAACAAAGGGATGGTTAGGATTGACTTTGGGGGGTTATGGCTCAAACCATTTAGTAATTAGGGGCAAAAAAAGGGGAAAAACAAGGGTTTTTCTGGTTAAAGGACAATTGAGACAATTTAAAAGCAGTGTAAGGGAGGTAATCCAATTCAAATTAAAGAACACTGTTTGATTACCTCCCTTACACTGCTTGTAAATTATGTATTAAGAAATGATGATTGTCTTGAGGTGATTAGCTGTCAATTTATTTTTAGCAGTTACTATTCATCTATTAATTAATGTTAATTTTAGCCATGACTATGTATGTCATTTTATATTTTAAAACTTTTATGATGTATTTAAATTGGTAATTTTGGTTGCAAACTGCATTCGAAATTTGAATTGAGATACTGACCATATCTTGAGAGAAAATTTTTTTTTGGGGAATAAGGGAAAGGGGGGAGGTGAAAAAAATTGGAAGGGGGGGGACAATTTTTCTCATTTCAGATTTCAGAAATTAAAAGAAATTTCTTCAAATATTTTTTTTTGGGGGGTTAATATTCAACAGCATAGTTTATTGCACAAAAGCAAAAAACCGGGGTTAAATAATTTTTTTTGGTAGGGGGGGTCAATTTGCAACAACATAGTGTATTGCACAAAAGCAATAAATTGAATATAAATTCAAATCATATAACCAATTTGAAGTTCTTTGACTACAGTTATTCTGTGTCAGAAACCTATTATGTGTCAAAAATTTAGTTTCAATCCAAATTCAGACATGTATCAAGCGTGAATATTGTGTCCATTTTGGCCCAACTTTTCAGGGTTGGACATCTGCGGTCGTATCCAGCTGCGCTCAGCGAAGCAATTTATTTCAACTGAGATTTAATGGCCCCAGAGATTTAAATCTGCATTTAAGTTCAACCATAAAAGGAACAAATAGTTAATATTCATATATGGAGGCCTGTTAACATATATTTTTTTGGAAATAAAAGAATTTGGATAAGTTATCCTTTATATTTTATATTTCTGTAACCAAAGATAATGTCAACAACTGCACAGTTTAATATTCATTCCAATATGCAGATGCTTGTGTGATTGTATCATTAAATCAGAATTAGGCAGGAGAAGTCTAGGGTTATTTCACAAATATGGATTGAAATAGTGAATCATGTTAATTGGAGCTGAAAAGACTGTCACACAAGTGGAATGTATAAAATGCCAGAAAACTTCATTTTACCAACCACATTAATTTTCAAACTATGAATATAACAGTCAATCACCAGTTAATACCAAATTTTATCATTTTGAAAAATTTCTTCTGAATTTTGTCAGTATATATAGACATTGATATTTTAATATACATGTACCTTGGAGTTTAATACATGTACAGTCATTATTTCCTTAAGATACAGTATACATGATGTACAATGTAGTACTTATATTTTCTGGTAGACAATTTGTGTATTGTTTGTTATTAACAGTTTCACAGTTTTTGTTTAATAAAGTTATTAAAATCTTGAACTTAGTTCATTGCAATTGATCTAAACTCAGACAGACGAAAGTAAGATTTTCTTTTAGTTGGAAAATTTAAATTTTACACAGATGTTGATTTATCTCATTCAAAATATTTTTAGTACTGTCACATAATTTAAAACAAATATAAAATGTTGGTCTTTAAATTAACAATATGATTAAACAGGTTATCCAGACTATGATGGTACATTTTCTGTGGAAGCAGACCCTGCAGTCAAGCTATGGAGCACAGCCTTGAATGAGGTATTAAAATGACATGCATAATGATTTGAAACTGAATTATTTAGTTGATGAATTCAAATCAATTTTTTTTGGTTAAAAGCTTCATAAACAGTATGTTGTAGGCACTTATCTAATGTTGAAATCCATTCTTATATATTAGCCTTTTTGATCTTTTCTGTTAAATTTTTGCTCATCTGACTCATACTAGGGTGAATGCTTCTGGTGTACGTATAGATTATCGGGTTTTCTACACATTGATATCGTAAAATATCAGCCATGAACCACAATGTGAGCGCAGCAAACGAGCTAAAAAGCTTTTCATTGTGTCGAGCTGCTGATATTTTACGATATCTATACGAAGAAAATCCGATTATCTGTTTATCGTTCTATTACTGGTCAATTTCCCCTCCCTAAGACAGTTTTACGCTTGACGAAAGCAAGCTTAATAACGTCTCCTCAGACTTCTCTTCAGACATTGTGACGTCACTGATAATGCCTGCTCTCATCTCAAAGCTGTGAAATGAGATTACGGAGCGACTGAGCAGGGTGATATAGGCGTAGGGAAGGACGATAAGTCAATTTACAATTCATCATCTTGTCTGAATCAACCATGCTAAATTGCTACATTGCTCCAAGCTAGGCAGGAAAAATAAGATGGAAGTGGATTTTTTTCATTTCCCCCGCTATGTCTGTCCATATGTCCCAAAATAAGTTTTCGTTCTCTAACTTTACTTTGGCATGACCAAATGTTCTGAAACTTATACACAATGCTTATTACTACCAAACACAGATCAAGTTGGAATATTGTAGTGTCACTTTTATCGTTCTCGGGTTATCTTGGTAAATGGACAATTTGCTGAATTTGCCATATATTTACAAGCGGGGGCATCATAATATAATAATGTGTCATATGCACACATTCTTCTTTTATTTTTATAAAAAGTTCTCATTTAGATCTGATTGCCAATAGCTGAAAAACATGGTTGTCAGAGTCAATCTGAATCTGAATGGCCAATTTTCAAAAATCTTCTCTTCTAATACTACAAGGAAAGATGTTACTTTAGGGTTTTTATGAAAACAAAACCATATGTAGTTAAAAGAGTTGAAGATTTTGTCTTCCCTTGATCAATTAAGGGGTTAATTTGCCAGGTGAGAGATTCAGGCTACTAGGAGCCTCTTGTTTTGTGTTAGTGTTGTTTGATTCCTGTCTCATTGAGAATAAAAGAAACTAGAGCTAAGTTTTGGAAACACAATATTAAGAATGGAAAACCTTGCCTCAACTACTGCATTGAAAAATAATATATATGTTATTTATTAGGAAATATGTTTATTTCAAGAGGGGCATAAAGGGGGGGTATCTGCACGGAAGAACGCGAAATAAAATTGCCATTTCACGATGAACGAACAATTAAAAATTTCATGCACGTTGATCTTTTTACCGATTTCATGAAACACGGTGAATAACGAACCTTTTTCACGGCTGCACGTGAAATAAAAATGACAAAACACGTTGCATGTAAATAACCCTTTACCACCTCTTTCAACATATAACTGTAGTATGATACTGCATTAAGAGGAGATGTTAATCATGGTCATGCTTTTCAACACTATATCTGATCACATTTATATAAGTCATTGGTGGATAAATTTTTTTTGTGCAGTATGCAATCAAACTTGTGAAATTATAATTTTAAGTGTTTAATTGAGCCAATTAGGGCATTGATACAGTACAATTACTTGTACTTTCATCACAATGAAGTGGACATAGTATTATACAAAATAACATATAGTATTAAAAAATAAGGAGATGTGGTACTTATAATATATAAGCACTTTTAAAAAATACTTTTAAAAGACATTTTATCAAGTTATTGTTAATTAATAACCTTACTATAAGTTGGTACATGATGTATTGATCTTAACATAAGATAATAAATTGATTAGGAAAATCCTCATGCTAAGTGTGAAATCATGATGTTATTGATGTTTTGCTAATGAAAAGATGTATTGTATGACAGTCATGTTGATTCATCTGAGGAAAAAAAAATATATCTAGTATTATGTTTGAGTGAAATATCCAGGCTAATGATGAAATTCAATTGGTTTACTTGACAAATATTAAATTTAATAGAATATATTTATACGGAAAGTTGTACAATCTTTTTCTGTCATTTTAACTTACTATTTTGTTTTGAAATATGCCTGTGCTAATATCATAGATTTTACACTTTATGTTTCTGGAGGAAAAATTGTTATCAGTTTTTTCCCCATTGATTCTTACAGAAGTAGATAGGTCTATCATCTTATAAATTAGTTGTTAATATTTATCTTGCCCCTGCCATTAGTGTTACCCATTGGCATTCTGTAATGAAACAGTTGTCCTGACTTTTATCCCTATGCCTGCAGATACGGATCTGAATTTTGGTACATTAGTGTATAAAGAGGACTTACAGATGGATTTTGCAATAATTCCTGGTTGACTTACTTTTTGTGGCCTCTGTACTTTTCAAGACTTTTTATAATGCCTGCAGATCTGGAACTGAATTTTTGTGCATTAGTGGATAACAATGACAGATTAAGTTTGCATTTTGTTCCTGTTGATCGACTTTATGACAGAATAACAGCCCTTGGATTTAGAGAATTTCCTGTAGATTAGGAGCTGATTTTTTGTATATTTATGTATAATGATTTTTAACAGGTAGAGCTAGTTTGTCTTCAATACTGACTTTAAATTGAAATAGATATTTGGCATTTTCAAAATTACTAAAATAATTTTATATACCATTTAGACAATATTTGTTTTTTTTTGAAAATGTTAACTGCCATATACAGATTTATTCAGGCAGAAAAAGAGGTTGTATATGAAATTGTTTAATCAGATAATTGAGCTGTACAAATATAAACTGTATTGATTATTGATTGTCCATTTTAATTGATGAATAGTGTAAAGTATTCTAAAAAAAAAAGTACATCGTTTCTGATCTGCAGAACTCGTCATTTCAATCAGAGATAACTCTAGCTGACATTTTCATATGGTATCTTGACCTCTGTTTGCTTTTCTGTTCTGTGTAAATCTGTTACTAGTTTAAGTAGCTACTTTATATCTTCTGTAAATCTGAAATTCTGCATTTAGTACGACTGAAATGTATGTTAGTTGTTGTTTTTACTTTGGTAAAAATAACACAAATCAGTAAAATTGATATATTTATATCTGCTACACTTAGATAAGGTAATTAAGTCTAGACTGGGACTAATGTGAGTAATGATTCTTGGTAGGTGAAATTTTAAGATTATTTTAAGCCATTTAAGCTGAAGTGACTAATGCACTAGACATCTTACTTCTGTGGGCCATTAAAAAAAATTTAAATGAAAAAAAAAGCTAAAAATTGTATCAGTTTTCTACTATTTCTTTCAGTCCCTTGTTGACTTGAAGGACAAGATAAAACTCTCTGATTTCCTGAAAAAGTGAGTATGTTATAAAACAGCAGTTATTGCAAAGGTCAGGTTAAAATTTGTTTTGTCCAAAAAAAAAATGAGTCTGTACTCAGCCTTCTGTCTTGTAAAATTTGGATGAGCTTTAGAATTCCGAAAATGTTTTAAAAAAAAAGTAAACATTTACATTACCAAATATCCAAATGTGATTATGTGTATGATGGGTATGTGAGCGACTTATGTATTGTGTTCACATAATAGTATGTCAAATACAATTTAATACCAATGTGCTTTGTGTACACATGGATATGTGAAAGGCTCATGTATTATGTGTACATTATAGTACTTTGTATGTGTCCTGATGCTTCATATTAAAAAGAAAAAAATATACCTGATAGATAAAAGGGGAAAACTAAAGACAGTACAAAAGCTACTGACACAGTACGATGAATAAGAAAAGATAGTAATACATAAAGAAATTTAATGACACAGAAGACTCATTCAAGGACAAAACATTCTCTGAAAAAGAAATTTCATCCGATTCTTATGGTTCATTTATATTTTTGTTCTCATTGGAAAGTTCATAGAGCCTTCAGTGGACTGAGTCAAAAGTATTACACAGCCTGGTCTTCTAGTAGCACTCTAGCTCTTAATTGTTTATTGTTGTTTTGGTGTATTTTCTGATTGATTTATACATGTATAATGAATAAACCATTATGCTGTTTGATACAGGGCTGTTGTTTTACATACCAACAAGAACAAAAGATCTGAACAAAGACATGTAAGTTATCTATGGTTGTATAGAAAAATTTCCATATAGTTCAATTGAAAATAAACTATTATCCAAAATTTTTGAGAGTACCATCACTAGTAAATTAGTTTTTTCATGTTAGGTTATAAAAAAAAAAAAAATCATAATGCAATTGACTTTGTTAGGTGTTGGTTGAGTCAGGATGTCACATGTAGATTTAGGATGCATGGTGGTCAACATTTATATATATGAATTATTCCAGTCTATCTACATTATGGTGTTCTTGCAAAACTTGCTCCAGTCATTTGAAAAAAATTCTAAATGCACTTTATTTGCTAATATGTCATGGAGTTTGTCAGTTAAGTTTAAAAGAGAGGGAGATTATACAAAAGAGACAATCAACATTCATAAGTGAGAGAGAAACTGACAAAACCCTGGCAAAAAATGATGAAGAATTCTTGGAAAAGGGGGGAGGCGTGACTTCAGGTGCCTTGGAAGCGAACACAGATTCTGCTCCATTTGTGTCAGCAACCCTGTTATTGTCTCGCCTTGACGGAGTCAAAAAGCCAGACAAAGGTATGCTGTTTCTGTCGTTGGCGGAGGCATCAACAATGTAATTAGGTCTAGTTTATGGTGAACCACTAGTGGTAGGTCAATGATATTAGGTATGCAGTTGTATTAGCATTGGCACATCTCATCTCCATGGAGATTGTTTAGCCCTGTACCTTCAGTCATGGTTCATTGACTTTGAATAATTGAATATTGGCATAAATTAAAGTATTGCTATTTTAATTTCAACATTTGCATTATCAAATAACAAATAGGGGGGACATATTTCTGTGTTAACAGTTTATTATATTATTTTTACTCCTACAGATGTCTAGTGATGATGATATTATGGAAGAAGACGAGGAATCTGAAGAGGAAGAAGAAGAGGAGGAGGTACTAAAGAAATAACCATACTTTTCCTCAATGGAATTACTGTTCATGATTTTCTTTAGCTTTCTTCATGCTACATTGCTCTGTTTTGACCTTTCTTTAGGGATCATAGATTTATTCTTGCGAGGAAGCTCCGAGCATGCTCGGAGGATGCTCGGAGCTTTTTAAGTAGGCTCTTCTCAGCAGTTTATGTGACAATAATTATCATGATCCATTAAGATGTCAATCAAATCTACACCACTTCTATAATAAGGAAAGTAAAGCATTATAGAGGAAGCTCAATTAACACCTGTGTAAACATCTGGTCTATTCAAATACATTTTGCATGAAATTTTACAAAACTTCAACAGTACTGTGTAATGCTTGGAAAGAAATCTCAAGTCTCCACAAAAAGTAAAAAGTCATTTAAATATTTTCTTATTATATTTAATAATCATTCCTTTTTTTATAATACAAAAATTCTCAAATTTTATAATTAGATGATATGATTTGAATATAGTTTATATTATATAATATGCTACATAAAAGTTATCAAGACACAAACAACAGTCAGGGGGCAATACTAAACAAGTAATTTTTTTTAGTTACTTATATTATAGAGGGTTTTTTTTGTTTTTTAAAATTATTTAATAACTCAATAGTTATTTTAAATGTCAATAGAAGCATGGACTAAATGTAGTTTTTAAGAATTTTATATCATTTCATTGAATTAATTTAATATTTATCCAATTTGAGATGAGTATAGAGAGGTTACTTTAAAAATAATGACAAAAATATTACTTTTATAAATTATTTTATACATCTTTGAAAACTTAGTACTTACAATTATTTAAGGAACATATGTAATTGTTTTGATTAAGATTACAAATTATAAATAACTTCAAGTCTCAATTAAATCACAAGGTTCCATCTATTTATATCTGTCTATCTCTAAGATTTGAAGGGAAAATGATATTTTAATAGCCCCAAGAGACCAATTTTTGACCAAGAAGTGTGGCATCAGAAAGGCAATTAGTGTTTCAGGAGGATTTAAATAGTTTTATATTTCATGGGGAAAATAACCAGATGTCTGTGAAAATTTGTTAAAGCTAGTAAAACCTGTATGAATGGACTTCTATAAAATTTTATTAACAGAAGTTATTATTCATGATATAGAAGTAATATTTGAAACAGCATCGTTTTTTAACATAACTTGTATAGGTAATTTGGAAAATTACTTGTTTAAGTAATGCCCCTAACAAAACAATGGTAATATGTTTTTTTTTTATAAAATAGCAAACTTAGTTCTTTTATAGAAAATTAAGGCTACTTTAGGAAAAGTTGAGGGGGTAATACCACCATTGTTTTCCCTCTAGTACGTCTCTTTCTAATTGGCATTTTTTTTTATATTGTGCGGATTTGGCTTTATTTTGAATAAAAAAATACTTGGCATGAGTAAAGTTTTATCCTGTCCTGTACTTCAGTGAAAATCTAACATAAAATTGTTTTTCCCCTACCAGTCTTTGTTTAATTGGTATTTCTCAAAAACAATTGTGCAGAATATATCTATGTTTTAAATAAAGAAATTCTTGACATGAGTAAAGTTTTATCCTGTCCTGTACTATAGTAACAATACAACATAACTTTTCAGTGCACATAAGAAAGAAAACATCACCAGAAGTTAACCGATCAAATTTTCTCCCCCTTTTTTTCCTTGTTTACAAGCTTTAGTAGCCATGTCCCCTAATATTTCCAAAATATTTTACAGAACACCAAATAGAATTTTTTTTATTGCTTTGAAACACCCACGTCTCAAAAACATATTTCTGCAATGAAATGGAGGGTTAATTTCCAACAACTGTCAAATTAAATAGAATATAAAAAAAATCAACCCTTCTTCGCATGAAATTGAATGTACTAAATTTAAGCAGTATGGTTATAAATCAATAACCATAATTTGTGTCTTTGATGACTTTTATATTTTATTTTATATAGTATAAATTTAAAATATATTTATATTCTAAATATAAAATTTGAGTATATTTTTGTATTGAAAAAAAAATGATAATTATTAAAAAATGTTTTAAAAACATTTTTTTCTGTGAAGACTTGATATTTCTTTCCAAGCATTGTACAGTATTATTGAAGAATTTCTCATCTATTTATAGTTTTGTATAATTAATGCAAGACTTATTTATATAGACCAGATGTTTACACAGGTGTTAATTGAGCTTCCTCTATAATGCTCTACTTTCCTTATTATAGAAGTGCTATAGATTTGATTGACATCTTAATGGATCATGATAATTATTGTCACATAAACCACTGAGAAGAGCCTACTTAAAAAGCTCCGAGCATCCTCCGAGCATGCTCGGAGCTTCCTCATAGAATAAATCTATGATCCCTTATATGGAGCTATAGACAAAATAGAAAAAATAAGGGTAATCAAAATCAATTAAACTCATAAATAAAGAAGAGACTGACAACCTCCATTGCAAAAAGAAAAAAATAGAACAAGCAATTATCCACAAAACACTACACAGAAAAAGAATGGGTAATATGGACCCAATAAAAAAGCACATATACTGTTGATTCTTAATTATTCGTGGGAGTTAAATTTTTGTGGATTTCGTGGGAACAGGTGAACCACAATTTCAAATATTGAACAAAGTATAAATTTTCTAAAGGCTTGTATGCTTACTTAGGCAACACCAGGAAATTGAATATCTACGACAATACCATTTTTTCTAAATCCACGAAAATGGTACCCCCGAAAATAAATGAATTCACAGTACTGCAGATGGCTTAGCTGCTCCTGCTCCACCTGTGATATTGCTCAAGACAAGTTAAAATCTTATGATTCAGATGCATAAATAAAGAAGGAGTTGCAGAATGATGCTGACTTTATTTATAGAGATAAATGCTTCTGAAATTTGAAATTCATATATACCGGTAGACCTTATTTTAGTCATAAAGCAAAACATGTGGGTCCTATATGTGATATAAGAGCTAATATTTTGACTTGTACTTTTATATCATGATTTCTTGAATGCAATTTTTGAATAACAAGCGTAAGGAAGAAAGAAATATATAATTTTAATAGTTACATGTGCATCATGTTCTTATTTGTGTTGCAGCAGATCTGTGATATTAACCTTATAGATTTGGATAATAGATTATTGACCTTTGGAAAAATTGATTATATGGAAAATTGCATCATTAGCTCTCTCATGTGTACAATTCTTTCCAGACTTTTATGAAACTTATATCACAGGTTTATATCAGCAATGTCTTAGCCCAAGACTCTTGGGAGGAGTTGGAAAATCAGTGGCGATCAATTATTTTTAAAAGAGTTATACCCCTTGGAAATATTAATTATATAGAAAATTGCATTGTTAGCACTCTCATGTGTACAATTCTTGCCAGATTTTTTATGAAATTTATATTATAGGTTTATATCATCAATGTCTTTAACACTTTCTAAAATAAGTGCTGATCAAATATTTTTAATGAATTATGCCCCTTGGAAATATTAATTATAACAGAAATCGCATTGCATTTCCTCTGAAGCCTTCATTTCTCTAAGATATTTATAAAAAGTTTTAAAGAACAAAGCAAAAGTGTTTTTTTTTGTTATTGCCCTTGTACCTTGGATAGATAAAATATATTCATTGTGGTGGACATTGGAACTCTGTTCTTTTATTTGTTTTCTTGTATTTTCCCCTATATTCTTGTAACGTGCATATTTACCTCATTTTTATAAATTTTTCAAACTTTCTTATCACATAGGAATGTATGATGGCTGACGATGATGCTTTCACAACAGAATGGGATTTAAAGGTTGCCAGAAAGAAGGTATATGCAAATGCTATTTGAAACTTTCAAAAGGTGAACATTTTTATTCATTACTTAAGTTTCCTGAACACACAGCTTAATTTATGATAGTATATCAATTTATGAAAAGTCTTATCAATTTATTATGATTAATGTATATCTATTGTGGTAATTTGTCACAGCCATAGGATTTGTCTATTAATTTTATGTCCTTTTTGATATTATAGTTCTTCAACTGTTTGGTTTCTTAAACATCCTCGGCTTTCAATATTCAGATTTGAGCATTCCTGATGAAGGTATATCCAGAAAAGTGCTTCTGACGCATGGAATTTATAAAGTGTTGTTTTCATTTTTTAAACCTGTAATGGTCAGTGATTAGAAAATAATGATTACTGGTTCTAAATTTGATATGCTCAACACATGTTTGTGGAATTACCTTCATCAGGTAAAGACTGAATGATGGAATACACAGTGTTTCTCCAGGCCGTTTTAGCGTTGCGGCACCGAGATGCTATATTTTTTTCCCGTGATGCTATAATAATTTCCGCGACGCTATAATTATTTTGAGGATGCTATTTTTCTTGTCTCTATATTGCAAAACCATGTCCTAAATTTTGAACTTTCATCTAATTACCGCTTGTGATCATAAAAATTATATCACCTTTAATTGTAATCCCTTCAAGTTGGACAATAGATCTAGAGGCAATTTAGAGTGATTAAATAGGTGTTAATTGCCCTTTGGGGGATAACTGAATGGATAAGAATACCCCAAGCTGACACGTGTGACATGAATAATACCACGTGGTCCAAACGCAAATGAAAATGTAATCAGAATATCGAAAAACAATTCGAAATCTACGTTTGCAGAATTCAAATTCAAAGATACAAACGATTATTCTCTTTAGAAAAGAGGTTAGGTCTTATATTTTTACAACTTTTAAAAAATTACTTGCTTTCATTTCCTGTACTACTAGTTAATAGAGAGTGTATATTAAACATTTTGATTTTGAGTTAAATAAGTTTGATACTTCTTTAGAAAGAGATCATAATTGGCTTTAGTTAATGTTTCATCCATTTAATGCATTAAAAGCGTCATATTCATTCCCAATCTCTTGTCAAACATTGTTTATTTTCGTAAATTTTTCTTGCGCCGCCATTGAAATATTTTTGTAAACTACGGATCGGAACCGGACCAGATATGACAAAATTTCGCATTTTTACGATAATAACTACAGATGCACAAATGGCACAGTAGACAGAAAAAAATGATCGCAAAAGAGAAAACTACGCATTCCACATGCATTAACAGACTATTTATTAGATATCTTTGCTAAAAGTATTCTTTTTGAAAATACATCGTTTTAATATACTGACTAAATTAGCTTAACTTTGTTAAAAATATATATCATTTTGATATAAAGAAACAACTGGGACTAATTCATTGAGTACCATGAAACAATGAATTTCATAGACATGATGATGAAAAAAGTTTTTTAATTGAAATTTTATTGCTATATGATACTTTCTCTTCTCTTTTTATATAAAAACCAGTTCTTTTTTTTTACTAGATATTTAGTATTGTATATATACAGGTTGTACTATAATAAACCATTCATTCATTCATTCATTCATTTAGTTGAGTAGGTAGGGTAACTGGAACCACACATATATTTTTATTTGGCCCAAGAGGAAAAAAATAATTCTGTAACTATAAATGAATATAGAAAACATAAACTGAAACAACTGTCATCATGGTTAAAGTTTAATTGTATTCTCAGTTATGAATTGAACAATATAAACATATATAACATAAAGGAAATAGAGCATCGCTGCAACGCGTCAAATGACATTGAAAAAAAATACAGTTTATTTTTTTACGCCAAATGTGATGCTATCCAAAATTTCTGGGGAGAACACTGGAATACATACAAATCATTTTGATAAATCTGGTGTTTTCTAGAAAACTTCATACTATTTAATTCAGACACTTTTGTTGTGACACATTTGGTAGTCATTTCAATTTCATTATAAAGTTTTATATATTGAGATAATTCTGTTATTCCAGAAACGGTGGGCTCAGAAAGAGGCAGAAATAAGAGACCAGATGAAAAAGGCAAAGCTTTCGCAAGGTAAAACCCCTTTCAGAGATTTCTTAAAAAATACAATATGAAAAAAGAGCCGGAACATATCATAGGACAATCAAGAATCATAAATTTATAAAAATCACAATACCTTGGCAAAATGTGAAAAACTACTAAGAGAAAACAAACAATCTAAAAAAAACACCACATAGAAAACTAAAGACTGAGCAGCACTTTCTCTGGAAGGATAAGCAGATCCTGCTCAACATGTGGCACCTGTCATGTTGCTCATTGCATTATGAATTCTGTAATAAGTCACATTAGATGATATCACAGTCTAGGAAAGGAGGACGGGATTGTGACAACTAGAATTAAGAAATAATTCATGGGGGCTTGAATATATCGTGATTTTACCACGGGTTGTCCCTTTATGACAAATATTTTACCCTGAGCGATAGCAAGGGGTAAAATATCGGCATAAAGGGACAACCCGTGGTAAAATCACGATATATTCAAGCCCCCATGAATTATTTTGATTCTAATAGGACAAATACGGCAATTGTTTTGGATCGAAGCGCTCTAGATGAAGACATTATTTGCCGTTCCCATAAATAAACGCACTATTAAATTGACGTAAAAGACCGGAGCAAACTGAATAAATGACATGCTTAAACTATTTACAATAACTCGTTTAGATAGGTTTGGATGAATCTAAATGATAATTGTACTTATATGTCTTATATGTATACAAAAATGGCTTATATAACACATTTTTGCATTGTTTGTTTACGTTTCCTTGTTGTGATGATTTTCGGTTTCACAAGCGTGTATTTTCCCGTAAAATGCTAATATTCTTACGTCATCGTTCTATGACGTCGGGTAGCTCATTCATAAAAAAACATATGACGCGGGTGTACGATTGGAACAGCCCAAACAATATATTCATATTTTACCACGGGTGTGTACTCAAAGCGTTTGAAGAACGTCATGTTAGAATTGAGTATAAACAGAAATGAGACTTAATTATTTGACAGTTCTTAGGTTCACTAATTTGATTATCACTGATCAAATAATACTTCATCAGGAATTAGCTTTAAAGATTTTTTTTTAAGGCTTAAATTGTCCTAAAAAAATATTTTAATTTTTCCTAAAACTGTCCTTTATCTGCTATATATGTATATACCTTTTTTAAGAAAGTTGATTGATGTTATTGTTCTGTCAGTTTTCTTCATTTCTCACGCTGTTTGCATATATTATGTTTTATCTTTAAAATTTGTGGCACAAATGCTTCAGTGGTCACAGCCATGTTATTTAACAAATAGAGATTTTTTTTCAGGAGCCAGTAGTATGGATAAAAAACCAGCAGAGAACATATTTACCAGCAATGCTGCAGCAGGGATATTAACCAATGATCTTGTCAGAATCATGGAAGAAGAACAGGTAAGCTTTAAACTTGTTTGAAATTTACATTTATTGAAATATATATGTAAACATTTGCATTTTGAATGCATGTTTATTGAATTAGGAATTGAAATTACAAAGACCATAACACCAAAAAAATGTATGTGTCTTGTTTCCTGCCTCCAAGCTGATCCTTTATATGATCGCTGCCCCTAAAATATTTTATTCCCTTGCCAAAAAAAATATTTATTTGTGTCATAAGAGTAGACTACGAATCCTTTTTCTACTGATTTACTTAGTAAATTATTTATGAAGCATGGTTTTGTGTCATAAGAGTAGACTACAAATCCTTTTTCTACTGATTTATTTAGTAAATTTTGTGGAAAAAAATTGACCGAAATAGAGTTACAAATTGTCATAAAAATTGGTAAAGTTTCATCATTCAATATGTGAAAGCACATTAATTGAAAGGTAGAGTAAATCTGAATGGGACTGAAAACATGTGTTTTTTCGGGATTTTGTTGATAAGAAAAATATTTCAATCTGACCAACTGACCAGACCCTATTTTAAATCGTAGGAAGAAGGAAACAGAAATATAATTGTTTTTGGCCTCGGCTTTAAGGATTAATAAAGGTTTGATATCATTAGATGTTATAGCAAATTATCCACATCAGACCAACCCTTTCAAAGGAGATAGTTAATTAGTTATATCAGATGCAGCCTGTGGCAAGTTGTGCAAGATTCAATTTTATTTAAATGCATGATTTCCTGTTCATGAATTGATGCAGAGTGAAGATAGTTAAAATATTCAGGAAATTATAAAGAGTTCACATATTACAAAATGTATTTTAAACAATTTTATCTATATCCATTTGTTCATTTGAAAAAATTACATGCACTTATCACAATGATTTGACCCAGAATATTATATAACATCCTGTGGACCACATAAAATTCCCATGGGTAATGCATTGGTTAAAAGACTGAAATGAAAAATAATATGAACTAATGTATATATGTTACACTTTATATGAATTTTAAGGGACCAAATATAATTTTATAGAATTTACATTTTTCTTCTTCAGGAATTAAGTTTTACAGCAGAGCCTATAGAAGATAATATATACAACTGGAGAGTTAAAATCTTTCATTTTGATGCTGAATGGTAATTACAATACATTTCAATGTCAAGTATTAGAAGGGATTAATTTATTAGCTGATTGTCTGTGCACTTTCACACATTTCTTTTGACTTATTCATATTATTTGAATTCAGTCTTATAGATGTAAATTTCACACAGTTTAAATTTAGATTATTCCAAGTATGTAAGCAGACATAACTACAAAAATTAGACTCAATAATCTGGTTAATACCACAAAATCTACAGTTCTTTTGTTAAATTTGTATAAAATTGACACCTATGTACTTATTTTAATTATTCATAAATAATATGATTGATTTACTTTATGATTCCAAAACTCTTTTTGTGTACATTGTAACCAATTTTGCAACAACTTTCTGAGTTATCTCCCTTTCATATAATTTTGTATCTTAAAAGTGCTGTTTTTGTAATTCAGAAAAAAAGCATAATTGAAAAATTATAAATATTTTTATTCAAATTCTGAGGAAAATGTTATTGTTCTCCTTTCACCTGACAGAAGTTGAATTGTCATGATATGGAGTTATACATTAAATAATATAGAAATGTCATAATAATGATTTTAGCTAATTACCTGTCAATATTTAAGGAATGACTGTAATATTTTTTCTGTCTATGGAGAAATAACATAAAAAATGTGGTGCACACTGAATAACAAGCGTAGCATGTTATTTCAAAGTGTGCACCACATTTTTGAGGTTATTTCGAATAGACAGAAACAATAATACAGTCATTCCTTATAATTTAATAAATTCCATTTTTAAGGAGCAAATGATGAAAGAACGCTGATGACGTCACGGTCACATGACAATATTATGTCTATGAGCTGATAGACAAAAAACTTTCAGCCAATCAAAAGACGTGTTACAACCAAAATTAAATCATTTGTAAATATATCCCTTTTTGTCATATAACTCCTCAAGTATTCAAGTATTTATAAATCCTTGTCTTGCAATTTTTTGGGTGTGTTCACTCCTGATGAAAGTAAATCCAGAAAAGCACTGTGGACGCACACATTTACAAAGTGTTATTTTCATTTACTAAATAAAACCCAAAGCATAGAAACAACACACAAGTCACAGTGCGGCCTTCAATATGCATCAAAAGCTTCAATCTCGCTGCAAGATAAAGACAGACTCTAGCATGGGTTTAAGAATTCTTTACTTGGTGACTGTTAAATGTTGTCCCGTATCTTTGTGCTTCAATGGATAGATAATACCATCAAATTACTGACTATTAGTGGAAAAGACATTTAAAATGATACTGTCAATTTGCCAGACAAACATATGTTAAAATACAAAAAAACAATTCCAATATATAGACATTTAGACAACTGCATATTTGTTAGATAAGATAATAATTGAAAGATTACTTGTTTGAAGTTAAACCTCTACCTATCCATACATCCTATATATGTTTTCTACAATTGTAAAATTTATATATTTCCAGTGGTTTAGCTGATGATCTCCAGCAGATTCAGTCCAAATTTGGATACAATTATATAGAATTAGAAATGGTAATGTATAATAATTGTTAATTAAAAAAAAAACATATACATTCATAAAAGATACTCTTTAAATCTTTAAATTTAAAAAATACATGGATATCATAACAGAATGATTATGCTTATTTGAAAAAGTTTTTTTCATATTTACATACTTTTACATAAAACAACAATTTTTATACGCCCGTTGACGGGACGTATTATGGTATACCGTTGTCCGTCTGTCCGTCCGTCGTCAACATGTTGGACATTAACTCAAAAACGCTTTAACCAATTTGTATAAAACTTTGGTGAATTGTTTATATCTATTGACGTGAGCTCCCTTTTGTTTTTTATAAATTTTAGATGTTACGTTTCCGAGTTATGGAGTTTTTTTAATTAAAAAAAGGGGGATTTTCCAGTTTTCTGACAAAAAATCAAAAATGCTTTCAGCAGTTCTTATGAAACTTTGGTGAATTGTTTATATCTATTGATGTAAGCTCCGTTTCGAATTTTATAAATTTTACATTTTACATTTCTGAGTTATGGGGTTTTATTCATTAAAAAAGGGGGGATTTTCCAGTTTTCGGACAATAACTCAAAAATGCTATCAGCAATTCTCATGAAACTTTGGTGAATTGTTTATATCTATTGATGTAAGCTCCCTTTACATTTTCATAAATTTCTAATATGACATTGAGAATTAATTGAACTTTAATTGTTTATAGTCTGACAACAGATTTACTAAGTATTGCGCAACAGCACAGTGTTTTGCACAACAGCAAGAAATCTTTAATAGTATATAAATTCAATTCATATAACCAATTTCAAGTTCTTTGACTGCATTTATTCAGAAACCTATAATATGTCAAATATTTAATACAATCCAAATTCAGACCTGTATCAAGCTTGAATATTGTGTCCATTTTTGCCCCAACTGTTCAGGGTTGGACCTCTGCGGGTGTATCCAACTGCGCTCAGCAAAGCAGTTTATTCAACATATGTTAAATGAAATTACTACAACCTACAGTTTTATTTGACTTTTTTTCAGACATTTGAAATAGATTTGTATCCATTTTATCCACCTCTAGTCAAAGTGATGAGGCCAAGACTTCAGGTACAGTTAACCCTTGTAAACATTTTACTAACAATACAACACAGATATATGTTAATGTATGTGTATTTGATTATTAAAAAACTTGCTACCACTTATTATTTCCCACGTAATACAATTATTGACTTTAGTGATACATGGTGAAAAAAAAACCAATTGTTTGCACATCTTAATTCCTCTTAACTCCTTTTTATACGTTCTCAAAATATTTGTGTTCTTATTATGCTATGGAGATGTCTGCGTTGTCGTCCGAAGACATTTTGGTTCACAGACAATAACTTGAGTATAAGTTTATGAACCTCTAGGAAATTTTAGCAGAAGGTTCCATACCACAATAGGTAGGTTGGGATTGATTTTTGGGGTTATTAGTCCCCTACCGACGAAGTCGAGGGGACTTTAGGTTTGCACTCCGTCTGTCCATCTGTCTGTCTGTCTGTCTGTCTGTCTGTCTGTCTGTCTGTCTGTCAGTCCGGCAAATCAGTTTTCCACACTTTTTTCTTTGAGCTTGAAGATATTGATTTGATATTTGGTGTACTGTTTAATCATGACAAATGTCAGATCATGTTCGAATTTTGTTCTGGTCTTACGATTTTGTGCAGAGTTATGGTCCTTAAACTTAGAAAATTCACTCAAATAATCAGTTTTCAACACTTTTTTTTTGTCATGCTTGAAGATATTGATTTGATAATTGGTAAAAAGTTTTATCATGACAAGTTACAGATCAAGTTCGAATTTTGTTCCAGTCTGATAATTTTGTGCAGAGTTATGGTCCTTGGACTTCAAAAATTCACTCAAATAATCAATTTTCCACATTTTTTTTCTTCATGCTTGAAGATATTGACTTGATATTTGTTATATAGTTAACACCATGACAAGTTATAGATCAAGTTAGCATTTTGTTATAGTACAATGAATTTTTAACCGGTAGGGGACTATATATTGCCAGGCAATACTCTCAGAATGCTTGTTGTCATAGCTTTTTAGAAATGAAGGGCCAAAAAGGGACCAAAAACAAGCATTTTTCTTGTTCACAGACAAAAATTTATGTAAGGATCTCTATGAAATTTTAGCACAAAGTTCCATACCACAATAGGAAGTTTGGGATTGATTTTGGGGTTATTGTCATAGCTGTTTAGTAATTAGGGGCCAAAAACAAGCATTTTTCTTGTTTTAGGACAATAACTTGTGTATAAGTGTATGTATGGATCTCTATTAGATTTTAGCACAAGGTTCGATACTTCAACAGGAAGGTTGGGATCGATTTTGGGGGTCATGGTCCAAATCAGTTAGGAATTAGGAGTATTTTCTTGAAGAAATTACGTGGAAAGAGATACTTAAACTCAATTGTGCTTTGAAAACGTACATGGATTTTACATAACCTGCTCTGGTCCGTGTTTTACCATGGTCAAGTCAACATCCGGTATTAGGAAAATGTACTTTTTAAAATCGAAAGTCAATTTTTTTACAGTGAAATTTTGCACAAATGAAGAGTCTTATGCAGATATTAGTATGCTGATGTTGCACACTTCGAATGATGCACTGTCAATTTAACAGTTTACATGAGAACATTGAATTTATATCAAAAGTATGTCAATCTTTGTTTATATGATGCCAACTGTTTACCATGATTGCCTTTTGTTAATAAGTCTTAAGACATTGAAATCGGGATAAAACAAAAATGTTCGGCTGCCTCAATTATTTTTTGGAAGCCCTGTCTATGACATAAGGCATTTAGTTATATTTATATCTTCCTTGTAGTGTTCAATGATGCAAAGAGTAACTAATATGGAGATGTTGAAATTGTCTTACTGGATCCCTACAAAGGATATGAAATCTGTCATACAGGATATCAAAACATTTCTTCAGCAATGGGCCAGGTAATATATATGTTGCCATCCAAATTAAAGTTCCTCAGCAGTAGTGGGGATCAACCACAGGATGAATTTAAAGTGTTGAGGAAAAAGAGTATTTTGTGATGAAACTATTTCCATTTTACAGTAGAAAAACATGATATTGTGAAATCCTTTGCAATTTGAGTATCTGCTAGACTTTTACACTAATATATCATGTTTTAATTTTATAATATATTAAAGACATCCATAAGAAGTGGTGGGAAATTGCATGTGACAATAAAATCAAAACTAAGGAGTGTTTTATTAAAAAATATCCAACTGGTTAGAACAAAGAATAAGAACAAGAAGTTTATTTAATGGCATCAGGTCATTTGGAATTTTATGTTGACATGTCTTTGGCATAATATACAAATGACTATGTGGTATGGGCTTTGCTCATTGTTGAAGGCCATACGGTGACCTATAGTTGTTAATTTCTGTGTCATTTGGTCTCTTATGGAGAATTGTCTCATTGACAATCATACCGCATCTTCTTATTTTTATATTTATAAATAGACAACATCCATTCAATGTAGCTGGATAGGAACTTTAGTATGACACTTTTTTACAATATATGTAAGTGAACATTCAGCTATTTGTTCATTTTGGTTTATGTTTTATGTAAGTAATTTCAGTAAATCTTATTTTATAACTTGTGTTGTAGGTTAGAAGTAAACAGTCCAAGGAATGATTTACTGAAATACCCATATGGAGCATATGTTGAAATAGAACATCATCTCTTAACACTTGCTCTGGTAAGTTTAGTGTCAAGGTTTTACAGAAACATACATTAGAAAGGTGAAACTGTTATTTATTGCATGCTTCTGTGGTTGTCATTATAAGAGCAAAATACTCACTGGCTCTGAGTCAAGATAATGGGTTTGAATAGCTTTAACAAGTTTTTCCTGTTGACTGTTGTGAGTTAATAATGTGACTCTGGCCAGTATAAAAGAGGTTATCATCACTTCTCATTTATTTCTTATCATGTCTGTTAAGTTGCATTTACTTTATTTGTATGAAATTAATTTCAGGTGAGCGAAGTGAATCCACGTGTTAATTACCTGTATGATATGGATATCAGTCAGCTGACAGAACAGAGAACCAACAAGCCTAACACACCAGTAAGTTATGAAACAGACATTGTCCAGAAATATTGCTGAAATGACTTGAAATATATCTTTATCCAAACTTTCAAACACCTTTTTTTGTAAACAGAAGTTCAACAAAAGATCTTTAAAGTAATTTGAAAATCTCTGTAATCACAAAAATGGTTCCAAATTTTGGCATTACAGAGGAATAGGTTCAACATCACAGTTTTAAATATATTTTGCAAATGTTGTCATTGCATCAGTTGGAATAATTATTTGGATATGATGTTGAAACCTTTTTTTTCTAAATGTCTGATGCAATTTATTTGTAGTTTTAAACGACTTTTTTATGAACTTCAACATAGATTTTAATAAAGATATGCCTTACAAAGAATTGAACTAAAAAACCATTGTAAAAGGATGTTTTGAATTTTATACTTTTTTTAGCCTGATAAGTCAGGAGGACCTGCTGGCAAAAATAAACCAGAGTACTGGGCAAAAGGTACAGGGTATGGACATCATTATAGATCAGGTTAGTTATTTACTGAGGAGGTTGTTGAGGGGAAGAGATAAATTACAAGGTATGGACATCATTATAGATCAGGTTAGTTATTTACTGAGGAGGTTGTTGAGGGGAAGAGATAAGGTACTGGGTATGGACATCATTATAGATCAGGTTAGTTATTTACTGAGGAGGTTGTTGAGGGGAAGAGATAAGGTACAGGGTATGAACATCATTATAGATCAGGTTAGTTATTTACTGAGGAGGTTGTTGAGGGGAAGAGATAAGGTACAGGGTATGGACATCATTATAGATCAGGTTAGTTATTTACTGAAGAGGTTGTTGAGGGAAGGGAGTAACCTTTATGATTCGATATAGAAATATTGATACTTATAAAAGATTGTATATATGATACTTGCTACATAGGCCTTTATTTATTATGGCAATTTAATATTTTAAAACATTTTTGATAAAATAACTTTGCTGTTATGCAGAATAGAAGTGTTTCATTGGAAATTTTTTAGAGAATGAATTTTGTTGTTGTTAAAAAAAAGCTTAAAATGGTAATTGCTTAGTAGTAACATATTCACATAGTTTTTTTTATATATTTCTGCTTAACACTTCTGTATTTTAGAATGGGATATAAATGCTTATATAGCAGCACAGAAAGAAAAGGATAATAAGGTTTGTTACCTAGTTGAGTTTGGAAAAAGGAAAAGTAGCAGTTTTTATCATTCATTGTTTAACATTCCTAAACTATCTGTATGCACTAATTTGTTTATGCTTACCATTTTGGATTTTTTTTAAAACAAAATTCATGTGTTGGAAATTATTTATGAGTGATAATATGTGCAGGAATTAGTAGCTTAGTGAAGTACAGCTTTGTTTTTTTAGTTTTTTATTTTTTTCCCCTAGTGTTGCATCATAATACCAAGCGAGACAGAAAACTATTTTATTTTAGATTACATAATTAGTGCTGGAGTATAAATTTATCTGTTCTACCTAGTAAGATAACTCCAATTCAAAATATTCAAAACAATGCAAAATGAAAGCAATCTTTACCCATCAGTGCTCACAAGCGCTTTGATTGGTATATATTTCTCCTTTCAGGTAGAAACTGTTTTACACAAGATTCTAGAAGAACTAAAATTATTATATACAAATCATGCACCACAGTTAAAACCTCGAACATTAGGAAGTCAACCAGAGCCAGACACAGGTCAGACCGCAGTTATAGACCCTGTTGAGGATATGTTTACTGTGTTGGATGGTTCAGCCTTGATACCATTCATTGAGGTGAGTATTCAATATACTGAAAAATTCTGTGATGTTTTTATCATTGCTAAAATTGCTATGGATAGGGTTCACAAAAATAAAAACTTGCATTGTATTGTGTAGCTAGATTGCTATGCAGTAGTATTATCAATTTTCTTATCCACATATCTACCTTAGGCATTGGACTTGGTATTTAAGGACATACCAGAACTGTGTTTGCTCCCTATTTATATGAAATATATGGGGCTCAACAGATGTTGGTATCTATGGTATACCAGTATGGTTGCTTCAACTTTTTGTTGATATGTTTGCATTTAAAAGAAAAACTGAATTGTATTTTGAACTAATTTTATGTTTCGGCTAAATCACGGATGATATCATTATCAAGGCTGTGGTTTTGTATTAAAACTAGAGTTATATTTTTTGTAGCAATATCTAACAGCTGATTCCTTCCTAGAAATTTGTAGACATTCAGTTGTAAGTATGATATTAATTATATTTTATTGGTAAATTGTCTTTGCTTTCAATTTATGTGATTAAAACTTAAGATATAACCCTATGTTAAGAATCACTTGAGAATATAAAACGTTTGAAAAAAGTAAATAAGTCCTATGTAATGTTTACAAGTGCTTTGTTTGATGATGAAATAAACACATTGATTTCAATATTAAAGTTCTCAAACAAGGTTCTATTTTTGGGGAAGGGGGAGCTTGGAGGGATAGAAAATATATCAGCCAGGCATTAGAAAGTTAGAAGCTTGTTTGTGTCTTTAATGTTACATGAAAATAATCCGTCCTTATTCTGAAAACAAGTGCACATATAAAAGTAAAGTATAAATAATGTACTTAATGCAGTTCCCTTTATATTTATATCTCATATTGTGACAAATTTCCATATTTTTTTTATTTCCCATGAATCAAAATTAAAGATATAGTACATTGTATATATATATATAAAAAAATAAAACTGAACACAGTTATGTTTATTTTGGCAGGTTTATAGAGTTATAATAGATATAATAAAGGAAATAGGTGAGTTTTTTTTAAATTGATGAATCGATATTGTTCCCTTTAAGAATTTAATATTTATCATATATGCATCTAAACTTAAACATAGATTTGGAAAATATACTAGTGTAATAGGAAACTGTGCACCCACATAGCATCACATTTTTCTTTAAATTTCATGAAGCAAGTGGTCTACGCTTTACTTGAAATTAAATGCATCTGCCTAATTTTACAGGGACACACTAAAAGTCTTTGTCTAATTTTCCCAGAAAAATCAACAAAATTAATATTCTGTAAATAAGTATGAATGCATAGTACCTGTACCTAGACTTAAACTTTATTAAACTAATAACATAAACAGTACCAATTTATCTGCACCAGATACGAATTTCAACAATCAATGTCTCTTCAGTGATGCTCGAGGCCAAAATATTTGAAAATCCAAAGACTAAAAGTTTAAATTGAATGGTTGGAAACTTTTCCCTTGCACTGTACAGGTTATAGAAATTTCCTGTTAAGTAACTTAGTGTCTGCTTTATAAAACAAAAAATATTTGCAAAGCTATCATGAATATAAGGATCTAAAAATTTTCAAAAACTTTTCTGCACTTATGAAGATTTAAAATCAGTCTGTTGGTTTTTAGTATAATCAATAGATTGTAGATAAAAAAGAATTATTTGTATATATACCTACATAAGAGTATGATAAGACAAAGTTTTTAGTCATTAACACTATATTTCAGCTCGACAGAAACAGTTACTGCCATTACTTGTATCTTTACCTAATCAACAGCTGTCTGTCTACAAGTTGCTAGAACAACTTGAAAAGAAGGTATGCATTTATTCATTCGATGATTTGTGTCCTGTAAAAAATTTGAATGTCAGATTTCCTAAAAAACCTTAAAGAGGTTAATGTTTTTTGATATTTATAATTCCAGTATTTTGTGTTTTCAACTGACTGTCAAATGTAAGTAATTGTCTATGTGTAACTTGAATTCAAGCTGTCATGTTGTTTATATTGGTTACTAAAGAAATCTTGTGAATAGGTCTATCAATAATCTGCCAAAAATATCACTACCACAAGCCCTGTAATGGGCAACATTTATCCTCAAGATAAAGTAATCAACCTTCACTCATCCACTTCCTGTTTACTCAATATTTATATTCTATCAAAAAATGGCCATGTATGAAATGTGATACATTTTCACATCCATCACATATCAACTTCCTGTTTACCAAATAATTATATTGTGGTTTCATAAGGGAGCAGTAGCCCACACACCCCACAGTACATCTTGTTTAAATTGCTTTTGTCTTAAATGAAGATTTTCATAGTGTCCACAAATTTCTTACACTTACAAGATGTATACTAATATAGAAAATGTTAAATGATATTACAGGCATCAATGATGTTAAAGCATCTATGTAAAGCTGGTAATGGCAGTATACCAACATCCCATCAATCATGGGATGATCCACCAGAGACCTCGGCCTTTGGTCTCATACCAAAATGTTTTGGTCGATGTAGAGAAAGTAGTTCACATAGTTCCTCTTCTGATTCAGATGGAGAAGAAGAAAAAATTGCAAGGTATTTATGTTCAAAATAATTTGTAGCTCATCAATCTGATTTTGGTGTCAGTGTCATCATCAGAGTTTAAGATGTTCACAGTTAAAATTTTTCATCCTCATAAATATTTTGTATTCTAATTTCAGTTATAGCTAGTTGAAAAATAGATTTGAAAATATAAAAAAACTACTTTCTTCAAAACAGTGCTACCATAGAAAATAACTACAAGCAAGGGTCCAGAAACAGTCATATCTGCCAGTCATGACCTTAACTGAAAGCTGTTTGTCCTAAACGGCAGATTGGGATTTAGGACAAATTTTATTTTTTTACAGATATAGTTTCTGTCATTTCATTGAGATCAGGTTTCTTATTCGCCATTTTGCACTTGTTTTTGTTTTGTAATCCCTTTTCCTGTAATAAAACTGTCACTCCAGTATAGTATGATAATCCTGAGGGACCTCTTGATAACTAAATTAATGCCTCTGGGAAATATTGGCTACTGATCGCTAATCACTTTTTACCTGTGTTTTTAATTCACACCTGACATTGATCACAAGCTCAGAACTAACATCAGAGAGAAAAAAAATTCCATGACAACTGTCTTCATTATTTAATTACTTTTGCACAAAGACAATCGTCAATTCTGATTTAAATAATTAAAACTTGATTTAATTTACGTAGAAAAAAGTTATTTTTACGAGTTACAAATGTGCTTTATTTACTATGTAAAATACGCATGCGTGAAATTGTCTTTAGCAGAATAGACACTTAATTGTAAAATTCAAAATTGATTTCATGCTAAATTAAACGAGTGCAACTATTATCTATTATATTCAAACACTTTTAAAGGTAATAAAATTAAAAAGCTGGTGATTTCCTGTCAATTTTATAAACAAAACAAATCAAAAAATGAATCCAGAATATTCGTACTTTAGTATTGTCGCAAAACTTACGGTTTTAATTTTGTCTTCAAATCGAAAGAAACGTTGGCGATGTCTGAGAAATTTACCATTTTGAGTCAATAAAATCATTTCAATTTTAAACTGTTGCCTTCCCTTAACTGTTCTTGAACTGTTCTTGAACGTTTTTAGAAAAATGGTAAGAAAATTCATGAAGTAAATGCGATGAAACAGTCAATACAAGTTCTTTGATGTTATGAATCTAGTGTGATTTCGACAATTTGACAATTTGATAAAAAGGGCACCAACTTTTAAGTCATCTCAAAATGACTGAAATTGTGTGAAAATATTTCCAGATCTGCTTCAAATTTGTCACCTGACTAGTTATTCAAAGTAAAGTCTGATTAAAATTCAAAATAATGAAAGAAGGACTAACTATGACAGTTCAAATGCATACATTGTCCAAGGCAAAGGATGGGAACCATAAAATAAACATATATGTAAAGTGTATCTTTAGTTTCTTTTGAGTTAGAGAAGAAAACAAACTTTGCAGAAAATTAGTTTACATGACAGTTTAGAACTCTTTTTAACATGACAAACATTGTTAAATGAAGTTTTTAATTGTAATTTCAGGGAAATGGTTTCGTTATTTAACAACGTTAAAGGTAAGAAATTAATAAGTACTAATGCACATTTAAAAAGACTTTGGTTTACAGTTAAAGAGTTTTAAAAATTCAGAAGTAAATATAGCATTATACTGTGTCTGCGTATTGAGGTGACATGCTGGAAGAAAAAAGAAAAGTGACTTAGAAATGAAAGGATAAAAAAAGTCAGATATCCTTGCAAATAAAATGAACTCCAACGCAAGATAATTTTAAAAGTAAAAATGCAGATAGCAAACAAAAAAATGACAAGTAGTGCATGTCACTGTTGTAATTACTCAATTGAAAATAAGGTACTCTTCCAGCTTTATTTGGTATTTTAACTTTTTTCAATTCGAGCATAACTGATGAGTCTTTTGTAAACAAAATGCACATTTGGCATACAAAATTAAAAGCCTGGTATTTTTGATGAGTTTTTGTATGTACAAAACAAATGCTCTCTGTCATAGGTTATGGTTAAAAGGAGATTTTGGGTATACATTAATGAAATGACAATCCAACAACAAAATAAACTTAAGGCAACTAGAGGGCAACATACAAACTTTTAACTGCTTCGTTTGAAGAAAGATATGGTAGTCTGTTAACACCATGCAAATAAAATATGTGTTTACTAGAGAATAGGTTTAAAATTTGTCAACACAGTGGGCTTTATTTTCCTAAACAGTACTTCCTCCCTTGTCACTTAGCAAATTTCTACATTAGAATACAATAATGAACACATTTTGTTTATTTGAATGACACTTGATTGTCACAGTAAAGCTTACACAATAATACATAAATACCATGCTATTTATAGATACTTTAGAGAGGAACAATTTACTTGGTAACAGAAATAATAGTAATGATAATGATCAGACCATATATGGAGAACAGATTCCTCCCTATGATGTTCTTAATACTAAATGTGTATGTATTTCTTAAATTCTTACTGATTTAATAAGAAATATGGTTGGTGATTTTAGAAGAGTCCAAATATATTCTTAGTTTCAGTTTATGTTGGACTTGATGGAATATTATTATTGTCAGATTTGACTTATAACTAATGAAAGAAACATTCAAAAATTAAAAACACTGGTTGTAAAAAATGGTTTATCAGTTTTTAACTGATAAGAATATGATCAATCAAAGTCAATTTCCAGAGGGAATGCTCATAGACAAAAGTATGATGTTACGAATGACACAAAAAAGATAAGGAAAATTGGAAAATGTTATGTGTGAAATCAAGCATGAAATAAAATTTTTTACATCAATGTTGACTGAGGGCTTTGACTTTGTAATATTGAAGATAGGCAAAACACATATTTATTCATTTTTTTTCTGTATTTTCAGGACATTTAGTCCTGGTGTTTTTTTAACATCTGCTTCAATGTTTTCCTTAAATTGTTTTCATATAGTTATAATTTTACTGATAGAATTGAAAATAACCACAATTTTGAATGAATTTTTCAGTAAATTGAATTCAAGTGAGAAAGTATGCCTATTTTTTGGATCTGAAGATTTTTAATAGAATATTATGCATTATTTTTCAGGATGCAGAATTAGAAGTGCAATATAAACAAGTTTTAAAGAGCATGCAATTTGGTAGTTCTGATTTGCCATGTAAGTCAGAATCATATTTGCTAAGGAAGTTATTACAAATTTCTAGATTTTCTTCAGTTATTGCTGTTTCATAAAGAAACCAATCGTATTAGATTCAAGAAGAACTCCTGATAAAGCACAGTGTTGTGCCATGCCATCAAGACCATCAGAGTGCAATCATGCATCTCAGTAAAAGTGAAAACTCAATAATCCAGATAAATTTTGAATGATTGTTGATTAAAATACAAGTGGAAAGTTCATGGCTGAAAAATTTAATTTTGGCTGTAACATGTCTTATGATCAGCTCATAGACATAATTTTGTCATGTGACCGTGACGTCATCAACAGTTTTTCGTGATTTACTCCCCAAAAATGGAATTTAGAATTAAATTATAAGGAATGACTGTAATATTTTTTCTGTCTATTCGAAATAACCTCAAAATGTGGTGCACACTTTTAAATAACTCGCTACACGGATTATTCAGTGTGCACCACATTTTTGATGTTATTTCTTCATAGACAGAAAAAATAATACAGTAATTTCTTAACTAATAACAAAAAACTGTCATATCCAAGTCTTCATGCACATAATCCACATAATTTCAGTTCTTTTGTAGTAGATGTCTTGTTGATGGGTTATTGTCCTTTTGATATCTAAAGTTTCTTCTCATTTACACATAACACTGTTGCTGTCTTAGAGTTATATATCCAATTTTCAGTCTTATTTGAGATACAACATTTTTATTACCAATGCTTTGAGTATAAAAATATTCGGTCATCTTTTCTCATGATTTTTAGAAGTATTACTTGTGTAGTAATAATTTATGATATCCTATTTTAAAGTGGAGGGAAACATAGGCCACCATTATGCAAATCCTTACAAGTCACATCAAGCTGGAGGTCAGAAACAGGTAGGTTAATACACTCCTTGAAAGATAAAGAAAGAATTGTTCAAGTACTGTGGATTCATTATTATTCGTTGGATACCAATTTCCGTGGGTTTCGTGGGTACAGGTGAACTTCGAATTCATATGTTCAACGAATTACAAATTTTCTATAGGCTTTGTACACAGAAATCGGCAAACCACTAATTCAAATATCCACGAAAATGTAAGTTTTCCTCAATCCACGAAAATTGATACCCACGAAAATAAATGAATCCACAGTAGTAATTTTACACTTTGAAATACATGTATGATGTATGGGGGTTAGGTGCTTTTCCTTCACTGAATTTTATTGTACTTGTATGTTCTTATATATGCCTTTTGTTTGTTTACTGATTGAGATTTAAAAGGGGAAGGAATGCAAAAAATTATTTGAACCCACCACATATTTATGTGCCTGTCACCCGGGGTGTGACTGGGGAATAAAAATTTCAGAATGGGGACATTAAATCTGATGCCTTGTGTAGAGAGAGTGTCACACCCTCTGCATGTTAAGAACCCTTGTAACAACCCCTGAGGGGTAAGTAGGTGGCCTGTAACAATGCAAAATGTTTGTCCTATTCTAATTTACCCTCATTTTCCAGTGGCAGTCTAAATTTCCCCATCATTCATTCAGGACAGCCTTCATTACAGGACCTACCTATTGTTTTTATATGACCGCAAAATTTTTGCGTTCGTATTATGTTATGCCGATGTCTGCGTCGGTGTCTGAAGACATTTTGGGTCACAAACAATAACTTGAGTATAAGTGTATGGATCTCTATGAAATTTTAGCACAAAGTTCCATACTACTAAAGGAAGGTTGAAATTGTTTTTGGGAGGTATTGTCTTAGCCGTTTTGTAATTAGTGGCCAAAAAGGGTCATTTTTACTAGTTCATGAACAATAAATTGGTTCGCAGACAATAACTAAAATAGGGGCCAAATCAAGCATTTTCATGTTTCAGGACAATAATTTATGTATAAGAGTATGGATCTCTATGAAATTTTACCACAAGGTTCCATACTTCAAAAGGAAGATTTGGATTGATTTTGGGGGTCATGGCCCAAACTATTTAATAATTAGGGGCTGAAAAAGCCAAAAACAATTATTTTTCTGGTTTGCAGACAATTACTTGAGTATAAGCATATGTATCTCTAATTTTTAGCTCACCTGGCCCAGAGGGCCAAGTGAACTTTTCTCATCACTTGGCGTCCGTCGTCCGTCGTCGTCGTCCGTCGTCGTTAACTTTTACAAAAGTCTTCTCCTCTGAAACTACTGGGCCAAATTTGACCAAACTTGGCCACAATCATCATTGGGGTATCTAGTTTAAAAAATGTGTCCGGTGACCCGGCCAACGATTCAAGATGGCCGCCATGGCTAAAAATAGAACATAGGGGTAAAATGTAGATTTTGGCTTATATCTCTGAAACCAAAGCATTTAGAGCAAATCTGACAGAGGGTAAAATTGTTCATCAGGTCAAGATCTATCTGCCCTGAAATTTTCAGATGAATCTGACAACCCGTTGTTGGGTTGCTGCTCCTGAATTGGTAATTTTAAGAAAATTTTGCTGTTTTTGGTTATCTTGAATATTATTATAGATAAAGATAAACTGTAAACAGCAATAATGTTCAGCAAAGTAAGATCTACAAATAAGTCAACTTGACCAAAATGGTCAGTTGACCCCTTAAGGAGTTATTGCCCTTTATAGTCAATTTTTAACCATTTTTCGTAAGTTTTTGTAATCTTTTACAAAAATCTTCTCCTCTGAAACTACTGAGACAAATTTAACCAAACTTGTCCACAATCATCATTAGGGTATTTAGTTTAAAAAATGTGTCCGATGACTCCGCCCGCGAACCAAGATGGCCGACATGGCTAAATATAGTACATAGGGTAAAATGCAGTTTTTGGCCCATATCTCTGAAATCAAAGCATTAAGAGCAAATCTGACAGGATAAAATTGTTCATTAGGTCAAGATCTATCTGCCCTGAAATTTTCAGACCAATCAGGTAACATGTTGTTGGGTTGCTGCCCCTGAATTGGTAATTTTAAGAAAATTTTGCCGTTTTTGGTTATTATCTTGAATATTATTATAGATAGAGATAAACTGTAAACAGCAATAATGTTCAGCAAAGTAAGATCTACAAATAAGTCAACTTGACCAAAATGGTCAGTTGACCCCGTAAGGAGTTATTGCCCTTTATAGTCAATTTTTAACCATTTTTCGTAAATTTTTGTAATCTTTTACAAAAATCTTCTCCTCTGAAACTACTAAGACAAATTTAACCAAACTTGTCCACAATCATCATTAGTGTATCTAGTTTAAAAAATGTGTCCGATGACCCCGCCCGCGAACCAAGATGGCCGACATGGCTAAATATAATACATAGGGTAAAATGCAGTTTTTGGCCCATATCTCTGAAATCAAAGCATTAAGAGCAAATCTGACAGGATAAAATTGTTCATTAGGTCAAGATCTATCTGCCCTGAAATTTTCAGACCAATCAGGTAACATGTTGTTGGGTTGCTGCCCCTGAATTGGTAATTTTAAGAAAATTTTGCCGTTTTTGGTTATTATCTTGAATATGATTATAGATAGAGATAAACTGTAAACAGCAATAATGTTCAGCAAAGTAAGATCTACAAATAAGTCAACTTGACCAAAATGGTCAGTTGACCCCGTAAGGAGTTATTGCCCTTTATAGTCAATTTTTAACCATTTTTCGTAAATTTTTGTAATCTTTTACAAAAATCTTCTCCTCTGAAACTACTAAGACAAATTTAACCAAACTTGTCCACAATCATCATTAGTGTATCTAGTTTAAAAAATGTGTCCGATGACCCCGCCCGCGAACCAAGATGGCCGACATGGCTAAATATAATACATAGGGTAAAATGCAGTTTTTGGCCCATATCTCTGAAATCAAAGCATTAAGAGCAAATCTGACAGGATAAAATTGTTCATTAGGTCAAGATCTATCTGCCCTGAAATTTTCAGACCAATCAGGTAACATGTTGTTGGGTTGCTGCTCCTGAATTGGTAATTTTAAGAAAATTTTGCAGCTTTTGGTTATTATCTTGAATATGATTATAGATAGAGATGAACTGTAAACAGCAATAATGTACAGCAAAGTAAGATCTACAAATAAGCCAACATGACCAAAATTGTCAATTGACCCCTTAAGGAGTTATTGCCCTTTACAGTCAATTTTTTACAATTTTCATAAATTTTGTAAATTTTTGTAAATTTTTACAAAATATTTTCCACTGTAACTACTGGGCCAAGTTCATTATAGATAGAGATAATTTTAAGCAGCAAGAATGTTCAGAAAAGTAAGATCTACAAACACATCACCATTACCAAAACACAATTTTGTCATGAATCCATCTGTGTCCTTTGTTTAATATGCACATAGACCAAGGTGAGCAACACAGGCTCTTTAGAGCCTCTAGTTTTAGTTATCAGGCTGTTGTATGATAGACATATACTCCACATCTCATTTTATTCATAGATGTAGGACGTAAAAGCAGTAATTCAGAATCTATATATTGCAATACTTTTTTCGTTATTTTAGATATTCAGAATAGCCCAGGAGTTAACATCTTTATCATCAAGTTTACCACTAAATCTGTCTTCATCTATATTTGTCAGAACAGTAAGTATACAATGCATGCAAATATTTATGAATTAAAAATACATGTTCTGTAAAATTGATAGTACACATACTTTTATAGAACTTGGAAGGTACACAGTTGCTTACTGTGTCATTATTTCTTGTTTCATGCAAGATGTCCTAACCACTGTGTATCCTTATACACCCAATGCACCATTATCTCCAAAATCATAAATGTATAGTACAGATCTAGAAGCAATAATTGAGTTTCTACTATATAATCCTTCTGTTGTAGTGAACAGTATGAAGGGTACCAGTAGACAGCAATATCTGTTTTCATATATTTTGTGAGTCTTTTCAAAAAAAGTTTTATTTAATTTTATTTTTGAGTTGCTAAAACCATAAAGATAATATACCTTTGATAACATGTAGATAGTCAGAAATGTTTCATAGTATATAGGTAGCACTTCTCTTTAGGAACATAATTGTCAAGATAACATTTTGAATTTTAAAACAGGTCATTAGGAACATAATTGTCAAGATAACATTTTGAATTTTAAAACAGGTCAATCAGAATGTTATTTGTTGTTTGCTCACATTCATTAATGAAATTTCATATTCCTTTGATTGTAAATCTGTTGTGCTGTAATTGAACTTCTTATTTGACAAGTATAGTAATAATTGTGCAATTAGAAATTTGATTTACTGTGGGTTCATTGATATTCACAGGATACTAATTTTAGTATTTTAGAAATCATAGTATATGTCCATATAGACATTGAATAATATTATTTACATAGTGTGCTAGTGACTTAATATGATATATATGGGGTCAGTAAATTCCATATGGGGTGAGAGTGAAACTCGAATCCCCATATGGAATTTACTGACCCCATATATATCCTATTAGGTCACTAGCACACTATGTAACGAATTTATCTTACCGACTATCTTAACATGTGGTATTTAGACTAGTGGCCTATGAAAGTGATCAAGTCTTCAATACCGTTAGTATTAAGAACCTACTTCCATTGGTCTATACAAAACAAATGCCAACAATTACAACTTGTTAGCTTTAAATGTGTTTTATGAATTTATTTCAATCGTTCATCATCAATTTCTTTGTCTGTTGAAACCTTTAAGATTTTTCTTCGATCTTCAATACCGTGTTGTTTTTATAATCAGACGTAACACCACTACTAACAGTGTATTGAAATGAGCCCCACCTACTAACCCAATATGGAATATACACGGTCTCCACGTGGTTGCTTTTAATCAATCATTTTCCTAGAAATGTATAGGAGGTAAGATAATATTTATTCCATTGTAGGATGATGAAAAGATAACTTTAATGAGAGCATTAATTACAGGGTAAGTCTTTTTAGTTTTATTGTTTTTGTTTGATTGCTTTCTCTTTGACATATATTCCATATTTCCATTGATTCTCATAGTTTAAAGCTGTTTTTTATTCCTCATTTAAAACAGGAAATCTATAGAATACCATGGAATAAAAATTTTTAAATGATGAAAGGGTTTTCATATTTTATTTCATGTATCAAGACTTTTCTGAAAATCAATACACTAATTTTCAGGCCGGAAGGAACCCCTTATTCTGGTGGATGTTTCCTGTTTGACATATATTTCCCTCCTGCCTACCCACGATGCCCTCCACAAGTTAACCTTCACACGACAGGAAGTGGAAAAGTCAGATTTAACCCAAATTTGTATGCGTAAGTAGCTGGTGTAAAAACACAGATATATATGTGCATTACAGTGTTTACACTTGTTTTAAATTTTTTTTTAAACAATGAGAATTTACTCATGCATATACATGTGCAAGTGAATCTCTACATCTGATCATAGATTACATCAAAATTTCAATTTGGCTTCAATGTTAAAACTATGTAACTAGTCTGCTCTTCATTGTACCTGATCAAAATGAAATTTAGTATAAAAGATCATTTATTTTTGTTAATGCATATCTTTTTGTAACTGACTGATGAATTTTTAGGTTAATGACAAATTAATCTGTTATTCTTGATGCCTTCTTGTTATATATGCTAGAGTATTTTAACAAGGTGGGATTTTGAAAAGTAAGGATTTTTAATGAATAAATTTAGTATTATTATCCTCCACAGTGAAGTTAGAATTTCCTAGTCACATTTGTATGGCTTTTTAAAAGATCTTGTAATAATTGCAACATTTTGCAGAGATGAAAAAATGTATTTACCAAGTTTAAACCATAGTTCATTGATTTGTATATTACAGATGTGGAAAAGTGTGTCTTTCATTACTTGGAACTTGGGAGGGACAGAAGGGGGAACAGTGGAACGAAAAAACCTCAACTGTTCTACAGGTAAAGTATCCATTATTGACTCGCCTTGACAGAGTCAAAAAGCGTCGGCGACGGCGTCAACAATGTATTAGTTTGTGATTAGGTCTAGTTCATGGTGAACCACTAGTGGTAGGTCAATGACATTTGGTATGCAGTTGTATTAGCATTGGCACATCTCATTACCATGGAGATTATTTGGCCCCGCCCCCTCAGTCAAGGTCTATTGACTTTGAAACATTCCATAGTTAACATGTATTAGTTTGTGATTAGGTCAATTTATGGGGAACCACTAGTGGTAGGTCAATGATATTTGGTATGCAGTTGTATAAGCATGGGCATATCTCATTTCCATGGAGATTATTTGGCTCTGCCCCCTAAGTCATGGTCTATAGACTTTGAAAATTTTGCTAAGTTTACATGTATTAGTATGTGATTAGGTCAGTTCAAGGGGAACCATTAGTGGTAGGCCAATGTTAATTGGTGTTCAGTTGTATAAGCATTAGCACATCTCATTTCCATGGAGAATATTTGGCCCCGCCTCCTCAGTCATGGTCTATTTACCTTGAAACTTTTTCTTAGTTTACATGTATTAGTTTGTGATGAGATCAGTTTAAGATGAACTGCTAATGTTAAGTCATTGATATTTGGTATGCAAATTTATTGGCATTTGCAAGTATCGTTTCCATGGAGATTATATAGCCCCACCCCTGATCATAGTTCATTGACTTTGAAACTTTTACATAGTATACAAAATGCAAGTTAATGTTTGTGTTTAGGTTTGTTTAAAGGGAACGACTTATAATAAGTCAATGGTATTTGGTATGCAGTTGTATTAGCATTGGCAATTCTCATTCCATGGAGATTGTTTAGCCATGTACCTTCAGTCATGGTTCATCGACTTTGAATATTTGCATTACTTACATGTTAAAGTATTGCAATTTTAATTTCAACATTTGCATTATCAAAATTACAAAAAGGCGAGACATACCTCTGTGATAACAGTTTATTATTTGATTGGTTCACATCTACAATGTGATTCCCAAATTGCACAAAAAATTTAAATACTTATTTAAACTAAAAGATATAGATATGAAGGCTATACCAAATATATTTTTAATTCCTCAGACCAATTATCAAATTTAAAGGTGAGGCTCTTTTGACATATCATACCAATATATTTAAATGATATTTATATTAGAGATGACAATTTCTTGGACATGTGACAAGGATTCATGAGGCAGGTACTAAGAAATTTAAAGAGGAGTTGAGAAACTTGCTTTACTTTTCCACTAGGCTTTGGGAAATGATAAGAAACTTGGTATTTACATTGTAGATTCTGGTTTCTATACAGTCCCTGATATTAGTTCCTGATCCTTACTTTAATGAACCAGGTTTTGAACAAGAAATAGGTACAGAAACAGGACAGAAACACAGTGATGAATATAACGAAGGTTTGTTGTTTACACGTGACTAACAAAAGGAGTGAATATACATTTATTATGCATGAAAAGATTACATCAGTTCCCTATTTTATTATCAGAGATTAGATGAAAAAGTGTTAATTATAATGAATACATTTAAGATTTATCCTGACAAGTTTTTAAAGACAATGGAAGGTAATAAGGAGAAGTTAGATTTTAGGAGCTTTTTTGTGTGTGTCTGTATATTCACCTGATATGGATATGCCCTTTTTTTTCTTTTTTTAATATCAGCATGCATAGGTCATTTCCATTTATTCTAAGATACATCCCCAAGAATATTTCAGCAAGTATAATTCCAATGTAAGCTTTAGTTTGTCAACCATTTTAAAAAGTTATGGAAAGTAAAGGTGACGTATGACTTGTTAAGAGGATAGAAAATGTCCAGTTTATTGAACTTGTTGTTTCTTTGTTTACATTGGACCAGTAGAACCCAGTGCCACAAGGAATCAAACATTTTTATCTATCAAATTGCATGTGAATTGCATTTCTTCATCCTTGGCAGATTAAGACAGAATTTGGGTATACAGCGTTGTGCTATCTGGCACCAGATAGAAGTCACGCCCACTCCAACTACTTCATTCTTGACCAATGACAGCACTTGTACTATCTTCAGTTCTGAGGAGTAAAATTGGCTGTGTCCAGTCTTTAACAAAAAGTACATATATATGTTGACATTTCAACATTTGCATGAGGAACATACCAAAGAACTTTCAATTAGTTGATTAAGAACTTTGTCTCTAAATAAAGTCCTATGTTTTAGGGGTAAAGACTTGTGGCACTATGTGCACGTGCCACATGTTTATTAACATTTTCTAAATTTACACATGATCATCTTAAAAGCACTTTTTAACTGGATGCAGCCAGTTACAACTGTGATCAATGGAAATAATTTTTTTTTGTAATTCCACAATTTTCAGAGGGTGAAGAGGAGGGGGCCGGATTGTAACCCTTGGCTAGCTAAGATGGTTTCTTAGATACTATAAGCAATATGTTAACTGTATTAGGTGTATGGAATAATTGTTAGGTGTACATGTCTGTCTGACAGGGTTCATCTGAACTTTACCTCATTTACAAGGATCATTGATAATGTTAATTTTATGTAATACTTGTTGTATAACCTTTTTCTCTAAGACTTTCAACATACATTCAATGATGAACAGTTAAGTAGGCAAGACAGTTCAGTATGTGCACACTTGTTCACAAAACACTATACTTTCAAGTAACCGAAAACTCATATATTAGGTAGACTGTTATTGTATTTTCCTTATTTCAGATGTATGCTACAACAATATAAAATATGCAATGATAGGAAATTTACAGAACCCACCACCAGAGTTTTCAGAAGTGATCAAAGCCCATTTCTATATGAAGAAAGATAAAATGATAAAGGTATTATATTGATATAAATTGAATTGCGTGAATAAAGAGAACAAAATGTCATAAGGTTTTAGAAAGTAACAATTGATGGCGATTAATTAAAGATAAGTCAATATTTATGTGATGTGTGCATACTTATATCTATTTTTATGCCCCCACCGTAGAGGAGGGGGCATTAAGTTTTACCCTTGTCTGTCTGTACGTCCGTCCGTATGTCCCGGTATTGGTTTCCGTTCTCAATCCAAATATTATGAAACTTATACACAATGCTTATAACAACAAAACACAGATCAAGTTTGAATTTGGGTGGCGTTACTTTTATCTTTCTAGAGTTATTTTGTATAGATATAGTGTATAAGACATTAATTACAATATACATGTAGTATTAATTTTGAAAGTTGGGCAAGAAAAATTCTATGCTGAATACTTAAAAAAAATGTCAAGAAGACAATATTTGGGCTGAAAATAGTGAATTTTGTACATGAATAATGTAAAAATTATATGGACATCATATACAAAAATTTATTCAGAAAGAAAATCTTACTTTTGGGTCAAGATGCGCAATTCATTTCAGGTAGGTGACAATTGTAGCCTTTTCATCCATTCCTCTATTCATATCGTAAACTTGGATATGTATGATGGCTAGTTTCGAAGCTAAAACATTTTCACAGATGTAGTTTAATTTTTTTAGTACAAAGTGAAATTAAATTTTTCACAATTGAAAAGTCCCTATTTTGACACATTCAAATTGTAAATGGAAATTCCGTACCTTACAAACATTTAATAACTCCAAAATTTTTACATTTTTATTGTATAGTCTTCTGCTCTTCAAAAAATAGCATAATGTCCAATATCATACAGGTTTTTTTATTTCTATTTATAGTTTTTAAACATTTGACAATAGAGGGTGATCGATCATTGTCGGTGATGTAGACAATTTACATTCTCTCCCTTTCATTCTTGGACTGAAAGGTTGTTTTTTTCCATCTGTTTCTTTATATTAAATTAGGCATAGACAACATGATTAGATTAAATCATTTAATGATTATTTTTTTCCCATTTCAGGAAGTTCAAGGTTGGGTTGACAAACATGACAATCGTCGACTAACTAGGATGTTTCAAAATTTAAAACAGGAACTTAAAAAGTTACAACCACCACAGATTCATAATACTGCAGTGTCATGATGAATGTATAGGGAGTGGATAGATCTCATTGTGTATCTCACCAGTCATGTAAAGGAAGTCATTCAGATCCCATGCTGTATCTGTATTGTTAGTTATCGCTTCTTTTACAGAAATATTCTAGTGCTACATAGGTTTAATACAGCTGTTAAGCAGTTAAGTGCTCCAATGATTCATATCACAAATGTTTACTCATTATGATTCATACTGGTAATTACATGCCTATTCTAGTGTGGAGATAGATACTGGAAAATCTGATATGGTAAAAAGGAATGCACTTAGAGAAATCGTAGCGAAAGAAAATAAAATTACCATATTAAACTACTAGAAAAAGTAAATTCTGTGATATAAATAATTTTGTAGAATTTATAGTCAACTATTATATATAGTGAGACCTGTCTAATCAGAACCTTGAATAAAATGGAAACTTGTCTAAACTGACCATTGAATCATGACATAGTGGATGTTCCTTATGTTTGTAAAACAAGCACATGTATAATCCAGGAGTCGGTTTCACAAAAAAACTAACGACTAAGATTGATCGTAAGTATACTGAATTGTTCATGACTTACGATCAATCTTAGTTGCAAGTTTTTTGGTGAAACCGACTCCAGGTGTTCAGTTTTAATAGGTTTCACTATATATTATTATCTTTTGTTACCTGACAAAATACAGCTTTATGTGAAAGCTAAACTTGCCATTTATATCATTTTACCATCGAATTTGTCTTTATATACATATAAGCTTTTGGTGCTCCATCTTACTTTTCATTGCCAAAATAAACTTTGATTGAACAATAGGTTTTAAGGCCCAGCTGTAGCAAAAACGAAGCATATAAATTTACTTTTTTCTGTCCGTCCATATTGATACGGCAAAGTTTTTCATTTAACATGAATAAAAGATATTTGGGTATACACCAGTTGGACAGCAACCCAACAACACAAAACTGAAAATTTCTCAGAGACCTATTTTATTATAATCAAATGATATTTGACCACTGAAGGTTTTTTGCAACACTGTTAAGCAACTATTGGGTCACTACGACCTACATATAATGCTTAAGTGACTTTAGTTAAGTTTGCATTTAGGTCAATTTCTTGGAAATATATGATTATATCTCATTGATCTTTAAACAACTATAATCTTCTGCTACAGAAGAATGCTGTTCAACAGGATTTTGTCACTTTGACCTAAATTTCATGCTAGAGTGACTTGTTAATGTTTTTTGCTAGAGTAACTGGTGTTAAAGTTACAAGCTCTTTCCATAAATCTATGGTAATGGATAAATGATACTTCATCCCCTTAGACTTTTAGTATAATGCTTAACTAAATTTCATATTTTAGTTACTATGGTGTAGTTCTTTTTGCTTATGTCCAATTTTCTGGAAACCTATGGTAATTTATTAATGATATTTTACCACTAGTCATCTGTTTTATTCAACACTGTGCAGCTACATTGTAATCACTGTAATTAACATTTTTTCTCGTACTTTTTTTTCATAGCTTGACATACATATCTTACAAAAACTTCATCCAATTGTATAATTTTGAGTTTCTATAATTTGCTTTACTTGGCAGTTCTGATTTTTCACATAGCATTCCAGGTCTTAATACATATAATAAGATGTAAACATAGTGCTGTTTGGATTTTATAATATCTGTTTGTTGATTTATTTTATGTGTTGTTAAATTTGCATATATGACAAAAAAATTAACAGTTCAGCCTTTCATATCAGAATCTATAACCTTTTGTTAAACAAGTATTTTATTTAAAAATATCTCAATTTATTTCATAATGTACTAGAAAGATTGATCGAGTTACAAAATTGTTCTATCTATTGGTTTTGAATCCTAAGCAAATTAAAACCAAAAGGAAGAAAGATTTACAATTACAGTAGTTGAATTTGAAATATAACTCCCAACTCTTATAAAAGATTTATAAGATTTTTCTATTTACCAACCAAAATTCCTTGTATTTAAAAGAGTTAAACTGATTTGAAAAATGACAAAGTTAATTTTATGTTATTTGAAGTTTGTTTTTAACAGAATAGTGTAAAGTGGAATATTTTCTAGAGAGATTTGTTTTCACTAATTTTGTGAAAATTAAAATTTTGAAATAATCTCTTTGGAAACTTTGATCTTTAAGGAAGATCAAATTTAGGGACAAGAAAAATGCACAAAGAAAACCTAGCAATAATTTGTCATGTCAAATCACCATCTTCTTGTCCTGTTGTATTAATACCTATGCATTTTTGACCTCAATTCATGGTTCAGCTATCTTATCAGGTCAGTTTCCTCAATGCATTTACTACATTTAAAAAAAAGAAAAAGAAACAAAAGCGGCATTAAATCATTAGAAATATTAAATTTAAATGTCTATTTTAGTTATTTCATTTCTTTTTTTATTTATTTAGTTATAAGCATAATACATACTGTGAAATTTTGTTTTTGTCAAGCATAATACATGCAACTTAGAATCAGATTGATTTCATTTGCTTTGGTATGTTATCTGACAAGGTATTTAAACAAGGAGTTTGTTTATAATGTTATACATTGTTTTGTTTTGTTTGTTTACAAGTATTAATTCTTGAAGAATGCTGCATATTTGGTAAACAATAAATAACTGTTTGTTACCACAAAATATATGAAAAATTGTACTGTAGACATTAAAGGCTTTAAAAGTCAACAAGTAGATTTTGCCCCACTACTTATTACTTAACCACCTGCAAATAAAGGCATTTTGCAAGTCCACACAGGGTGTGTAAATAAGGCATTTGCAAACTTTTGTTTTTGATTTTGTTGCAAAGCTGGTCAGAGATGTTACTATGATTAATTTTATTGTATCTCTTCATTTAAAGTTATGAAATGTTTTGTATGAGTTGGATATACTTTGATATCAGTTAAAATAGCCAATACAATGAGGCTGTCCTTACGTACATTCTTAAATTTTGGCATTGTTTTCTTATTGCGAAGGGATAGTTGTTACAAAAATAAAAATTTGCATTATTTATATACAAAAGTTCCTGAAATCACAATGATTAATAGTCTATTTCTCAATTTGCATTGGCCTTACTAGTAGTGAATTTTTAATATAATGGCCTGACTTATAATTATAGGGCATTGCAGGTTTTTTTTATTGGAAATGTCATGAATTTATTATTTGATTTCAATGATTCCTGTCCATATTTGCATCAACTGTTTTATTTAAGTTCTTTTTATACGACCGCAAAAAATTTTGCTGTCGTATATTGGTATCACGTCGTCGTCTGCGTCGTCCGAAGACATTTGGTTTCCGGACAATAACTTTAGTATATGTGAATAGAAATCTATGAAATTTAAACACAAGGTTTATAACCACCAAAGATAGGTTGGGATTGATTTTGGGGGTTATGGTCCTAAAAGTTTAGGAATTAAGGGCCAAAAAGGGGCCCAAATAAGCATTTTTCTAGTTTCCAGACAATAACTTGTGGAAAGGTGTATGGATCTTTCTGAAATTAGACCACAAGTTTCCATACCACAAAGGGATGGTTAGGATTGGCTTTGGGGGGTTATGGCTCAAACCGTTTAGGAATAAGGGGCAAAAAAGGGTGAAAAACAAGGGTTTCCTGGTTAATGTACAATTACTTAAAAGTACAATGTTATGTTTGGATTACCTCCCTAACACTGCTTTTAAATTATGTAAAAGAAATGTTGTATTGTCTTTAGGTGATTAGCTGTCAATTTATTTTTAGAAGTTACTATTAAAAATGCTGATTAAGGAATATTAATTTTAGCCATGATTATGTATGTCATTTTCTATTTCAAGACTTTTATGATGTATTTAAATGGGTAATTATGGTTAAATTGAATATAAATTCAAATCATATAACCAATTCTAAGTTCTTTGACTACAGTTATTCTGTGTCAGAAACCTATTATGTGTCAAATATTTAATTACAATCCAAATTCAGACCTGTATCAAGTGCGAATATTGTGTCAATTTTTGCCCCAACTGTTCAGGGTTGGACCTCTGCGGTTGTATCCAGCTGCGCTCGGCGAAGCAATTTATTAATTCTTGGATTTGGAGAAAGTCTATATGTTTGGCTTTCTTCATATATTCTAAGATGTAAAAAGGGCATTTTAAACATTAATTCAAAAGTATGACAGAAAATGCCATGACAAAGAGAAGAACAGACAAAACCAATCCACAAAATACTACACAGAAAATTAAGCAATAGGAACCCCACAAAAAACTAAAATGACCATATACACTGTAAATAAATCATGTTTTTTTCTATCAAGGTTTTTTGCTACCCAGTAGAAAATGATTAGTGCATTGCATATGAAATTGCACTGCAGCCATTTTTGTACTTAAGAACTATTGTATGCAGGAAAGTGCTATTTTACTAAAAAAATATTTGTTCAGAGTGAAAGATTGGATCACATTTCTCAAAAAAATTTAAGGATGTGTTCAAAAGATAATGTATTACTAAATGAAAAGAGAAATGTTGATGGAAGTGAATGTAATATTTATATTTTACCAGATAGGTTATTGTTGATTTAATGTTGTGAAATTCATTTTAAATAAAAAAGAATGTAACATTTGAATTTTGATTCCTTACGCCTGTAGTCAAAGATGTTTTATTTTTGACATTTTTGTCTCGCCTTGACTGAGTCAAAAAGCTAGACATAGGTATGCTGTAAACGGCGGCATCAACAATGTATTAGTTTGTGATAAGGTCTAGTTCATGGTGAACCACTAGTGGTAGGTCAATGATATTTGGTATGCAGTTGTATTAGCATTGGCACATCTCATTACCATAGAGATTATTTGGCCCCGCCCCCTCAGTCAAGGTCTATTGACTTTGAAACTTTTCATAGTTTACATGTATTAGTTTGTGATTAGGTCAATTTATGGGGAATCACTAGTGGTAGGTCAATGATATTTGGTATGCAGTTGTATAAGCATTAGCATATCTCATTTCCATGGTGATTATTTGGCTCCGCCCCCTTAGTCATGGTCTATAGACTTTGAAAATTTTGCTAAGTTAACATGTATTAGTTTGTGATTAGGTCAGTTCAAGGGGAACCATTAGTGGTAGGCCAATGTTAATTGGTGTTCACTTGTATAAGCATTAGCACATCTCATTTCCATTGAGAATATTTGGCCCCGCCCCCTCAGTCATGGTCTATTTACTTTGAAACTTTTGCTTAGTTTACATGTATTAGTTTGTGATTAGATCAGTTTAAGATGAACTGCTAATATTAAGTCAATGATAATTGGTATGCAAATTTATTGGCATTTGCAAGTATCGTTTCCATGGAGATTATATAGCCCCAGCCCTGATCATGGTTCATTGACTTTGAAACTTTTACATAGTTTACAAGTTAATGTTTGTGTTAATGTTTGTGTTTAGGTTTGTTTAAAGGGAACGACTTATAATAAGTCAATGGTATTTGGTATGCAGTTGTATTAGCATTGGCACATCTCATTCCATGGAGATTGTTTAGCCATGTACCTTCAGTCATGGTTCATCGATTTATAAAATTATACATGAAGTACAGGTTTTCTATAAATCAGTTGTCAGAGTGTTTTGGTTACCTTTTTTAGCTCACCTGGCCCAAAGGGCCAAGTGAGCTTTTCTCATCACTTGGCGTCCATCGTCCGTCGTCGTCGTTAGCTTTTACAAAAATCTTCTCCTCTGAAACCACTGGGCCAAATTTAACCAAACTTGGCCACAATCATCATTAGGTTATCTAGTTTTCCGATGAATCCGCCAACCAACCAAGATGGCTGCCATGGCTAAAAATAGAACATAGGGGTAAAATGTAGATTTTGGCTTATATCTCTGAAACCATTTAGAGTAAATCTGACAGGGTAAAACTGATTATCAGGTCAAGATCTATCTGCCCTGAAATTTTCAGACAAATTAGACAACCCGTTGTTGGGTTGCTGCCCCTGAATTGGTAATTTTAAGGAAATTTTGCAGTTTTTGGTTATTAATTTGAATATTATTATAGATAGAGATAAACTGTAAACAGCAATAATGTTCAGCAAAGTAAGATCTACAGATAAGTCGTCATGACCAAAATTGTCAGTCGACCCCTTTAGGAGTTATTGCCCTTTAAAGTCAATTTTTGTAATCTTTTACAAAAATCTTCTACTCTGAAACTACTGAGATAGATTTAACCATACTTGTCCTTAATCATTATTAGGGTATCTTGTTTAAAAAATTTGTCCGATGACCCCGCCTTCCAACCATCATGGCCGACATGGTTAAAAATAGAACATAGGGGTAAAATGCAGTTTTTGGTTTATATCTCTGAAACTAAAGCATTTAGAGCAAATCTGACGGATGGCAAAAATGTTTATCATATTTAGATTTATCTGCCCTGAAATTTTCAGACGAATCCGACAACCTGTTGTTGGGTTGCTGCCCCTGAGTTAGTAATTTTACAGAAATTTTGCAGTTTTTTGTTATTATCTTAGATATCATTATAATATCTAATATCTAATACTATTAATTATGATATTAACCTTATTTTACATTATTTCCAAAGCATCAGTAAATACAGGTGAGTGCCACAGGCTCTTGAGAGCCTCTAGTTTTCTATATGAAGGGAAATAACTATATTTTTATTGATATTTGTGTTAGTAATTACTAGAAGTTTTTTATGGTGACGTTAGAGTCAATAGCCTCCTTGCTGAAAACTTGGTTTACATTGAATAATAGAAAAACAAACGGTATCCATCTGTGACACAAAATCAGTTCATGCACAGCAAATAACACACAAAAAGCAAAGGAACAGTGTTTTTATTGCTGTTCTTCATCTCAAAGTCACAATGAGTGCTATCTGAACTCTCTCTGATAATTTTTTTTTACCAGTTTGTCTACAGTTTAGGATGTCAGTAAACATGATTTTACATGAAAGTTATCTTTTTTGTATGACCAGTACTGTGTACCCAATATGTTTCATATCTCACGATATCATTACTAAAAGAAAAAATGACAGTTTGTTGTTATAAATGAGGTGAAAAAGACATATTCAGAGTTATGTATTATCTGATATTGTCAATAAAAAAAATCCCCCCCTCCCCCCCATCCAACCTTCTCAAAGATCAATTTATGGGGTCTTCATCAGGACATCAAAATCATGTCTAGGTATATTGAAACTTAGGTTAATTTGAAAATTTTCGTATTGTATGTGTTTCATTTCTTAACTAAGCTAACCAGTGGTTATGCTCATTTAAATGTTTTGGCCAATATCATACACTAGTTTACAAGAGTAATGCAGGTTCTTGGAGCCTCATGTTTTAAGGTTTATTGTTCTTAGATTAAAACTTTTCCCTTTAGGAGAATGCTTTATTATCTGAACAAAATTCAGTTACATAAAAGGGGAAATACCTTCGTCAGGTTAAAATATTTCTACACAGCCAGTTACTCACGTGTGAAGTGAGTAGATGTGAGTGAAAAGATTTTATTACCTGTATGATCATGTGATTTTAAACAGGTTAGAATTTGGCTCCAAATTATTTTGATCTTTACTTGGACAAAGACTTGCATTTTTTTCTTAGAAGATTTTGGGAAAATGAAATATGTTTAAAGGTTTATGAGGAATTTAAGGTATAATTTAGTAATAATAGTTTACTTTAATTGAAGTGGTTTTGTTTTGGATTAAAACTTTTAATTCTGAAAATAACTTTGGAAGAATTGAATGATTTTTCAAATTTTTCATACATAATTAGGTTGGATGTGAAACAAAATGATGTCTAGGTGTCTATAAGTTTTACAAAAGTAGCAGTAATAAACCTGTAACCATGTAATTTGATATGGAATAACATCTAAGTAATCTCTACAACATATTGAGGAATGGAGGTTACATTCATGTATTTGTCTAGGGGACTAAACAGTTTCAAAAATTGAATTTGATTCAGTTTTTTAACTAGTTTGGCACGACCTACCAGATGGGTTTATGTCGAACACCTTGTATTGCAAGGTTATTCAACTAGATGAATATTGAAATATATTGAGGTGAGATTGACATCTTTCCCTCAGTAAGTAGATTTTTGTGCTGCGACAAAGGGGGCATTGAGTTTTACCCTTGTCCATCCTTACATTCCAAAATTAGATTCAGTTCTCTTACTTAAGTTTGCCTTATGTTATGTTATGTCCCTTTATTTTTTGGAAAAATTGGCAAATTTGCAGTTTCTGCCATCAACCATATGCTATGAAACTTACACACAATGATTATTTACCACCAAACTCAGATTAATTTGAATTTGGGTGGTGTCACTTTCACTGTTGACGAGTTATGTCCCTTTATAAATGGAAAAATTGCTAAATTTGTGGTTTCTGCACTATACTTTAGTTTGCCTCAACCAAATGTTCTGAAACTTATACATAATGCTTATTACCACCAAACACAAATCAAGTTTGAATCTTGGTGGCATCACTTTTGTCGTTCTTGAGTTGTGTCCCTTTATTAATTGAAAAATTGCAGAATTTGCCTTATATTTACAAGCAAGGGCATATGTGTCCATGGGACACCTTCTTCATCTATTTTGAACCTATATTACATTTTTCATTGACTTGTTTTAATATTAAATGTTTCATTTCAGTTTTTCAGAACTTACAGCCATCTAAATTGGTATTCAGATGCATTTAGGAATGCAGACAGTATAACAACTCCATTATATTGATTTTTCTAGTGATAGACCATGCAGTGTATGCAGGTATAGTCAATAATTTTTTTTAAAAACTTATTCAAACTCTGTTTTTAGCTCACCTGGCCCAAAGGGCCAAGTGTTTTTTCCTCATCACTTGGTGTCCGTCGGTAATCAACTTATACAAAAATCTTCTCCTCTGAATCTACTTGACCAAATTTGACTAACCTTAGCCACAATCATCATTAGGATATCTAATTTAAAAAATGTGTCTGATGACCCGTCTGTCATCCAACATGGCAGACACTGCTAAAAAATTGAACATATGGATAAAATGTAAGTTTTGTCTATTATCTTGAAAACCTCTATAAATAGAGAATATCTGAAAGGACAGAAATGATCAGAATGATGAGATCTACCTATTGTTTGTTACATCAAAACTGTCTGATGACTTCTTATACAAGTTATTGCCCTTAAATGATAAATTTTACCATTTTTTTTATTTTTTCCTTTATTCTTGAAGATTATAATAGATAGAGAGATATTTTATACAGCAAAAATTATCAACAAGATCTACAAATAAGTCATAATTGCAAAATCGTAAGACAACACCTCTTATTAGAGTTATTGCCCTATAATTTATTTTTGGATGTAACACGTCTTCTGGTTGGCTGAAAGTGTTTTTTTTTTTGTCTATCAGCTCATAGACATAATTTTGTCATGTGACAGTGACGTCATCAACGTTTTTTTTCAAAATTTACTCCTTAAAAATGGAATTTAGAATTAAATTATAAGGAATGACTGTAATATTTTTTCTGTCTATTAGAAATAACCTAAAAAATGTGTTGCACAGTTTTAAATAACCCGCTACACAGGTTATTCAATGCGCACCACATTTTTGATTTTATTTCTTCATAGACAGAAAAAATATTAGTCTTT